TATTAACATTAATTAAGAAAATTTATTTATGAATATACCTGCCCAATTAGAAATTATGTCGTAAACCTTTATCCTAACATCTCAAAGCGATTAAGTCATGCCGTTGCCAAATACAATGTTCGATCGATATTAATTATTAACTAAATAACATCTTTAAAATTCACCACTTACAATGGACTAATACATAATACAGTATTTTAAACACTGGCAATGACATCGCAATACCAACTACAAGCGTACTTTTATATAGGCCTATTTTAATGAACCATATGCCACGAATACTAGATTATCAGTCTACTAGCAGATCTATGAAATACAGAACACCACCTAATGGACTTGAATCAACCAATACTTTCTTGGTGACACAGTGAACAATTCGTATATCCAGATCACTAACAGCGCCCTGAAAAAAAAAATTACACAGAATAATTAATTTTAAATTAAAATTTAAAAAACTTTGACATTGTGAATCCCCGTTTGGATACCACATCTAACAATAGAACAGTATCGGTAATGAAAAATAAGTAATGAATATGAATGAAATATAAACATAGATGTTCTGATTTTGAGTTTTAAAATTAAAAGTCGAGATTTTATGTATGTCTGCCACGTGACTTGAAACACGACCCGCCATGGTAGCGAAGTCAAATTAGTCGTAAAGGTATGCTTATTTATATATTATACATAAAATTCCTAGATGCCGCTGTTCTTAGCTTATTTATATGTTTTAATTTAGTAATTTGCAGGATTAAAAAAAAGTTAAGGCGAGTAAACTATTTTTTTTTGTGGGTTTTTTAATGTAAAATGAACACTTACAAGTATTATTTCAAACAGAATAGAATACTCTTTCCTATGATGACCGAACGCACAGTTAAAATAAATATAAATCTGTTCTCATTACCCATAGGATATAAAATACAATGCACTGTGGGGTCCATCTCACTCACACTCAACGAGTGGTGCATAGATATTGGTGGATCGCTCGATGGCGATACACCAATATTTATGATATTTAAATCATTATGAATGGCCGAAATTTGTCGTACTTCATTATTTAGCTCATGGTGACAAAACTATTTATTATTTTTTATCTAGTATAAAGAACTGTGTCATAAAGGATTGCAGTTGAAACGTGATGACTTTCCATAATTACAACAGGTACATGATGAGTCAAAACAAATGTATCATATTGTATCCTGCCTGCCTGCTTGGTCTGTATGTCTAGATAGACACACAGACCAAGCAGGTCTCACCATTGTATATGATGTCGTCCATTGATTATATAAAAAGTCCAGGCAGTCATAGATAACTATTGAAATAACATGTATTATTATTATTGCACTTATGTTAAACTTTGCATTTATGTTTACTTCATCTATGTGACTTAACATAAATATTGATTTAAATTCGCTGTATATAGAGCATTAAGAGCGTTCAGTATAGGCAAATCTTAGGAACATTTTTTAAAATGAATGAATTCAGAATTTCTTTTCACTATCTTTGTATGTGTTTTCTATGTTGACCGTTCTTAATGTTATATCTTGTATACTGCCTTGTATATATCTCTTTATCTATTGATATATAAATAGATAGATAGATATAAACACTTTACTGCATACATAATGATAATAATTTTCACAGCATTTTACAGTAAATGTGGGCAAAGGCAAAAATACCTGTGATCGCGATGGTCACGCGAGATATGCCCGCACTAGTGCCTTCACCCCGCATCGACAGAGCGGACAGGCGGACAGCGCTGCTCCACATCGAGCACATGATACCAAGTGACCGCACGGCAAGAATACCACGCTCACCTAACGGCAAACATATATATGTTACAGCTAAAGTCAACAGAGTTATAACGCAGTAAAAAAATCTTGTTTCATTTCCTAACCTCACAATCACGTTTCGTGTGCTTTTTATAATGACACTTTTTAAAAGGCCAACTTTCAAGTAGCAAAATGTTTCAGTGTAATTTTCACTAAATTCTTTACCAAATATCGTATTAGTTAAGTCGATTCTGGTTATCCCACAGTCAACCTAACACGCTCCTCCTCTCTCCCTTTGTTGTCATACCCAATTTCACCGTTTATGTGACCTAAACTAATCTAACTGTTGCTTTGCTTCTGGCACTTCGCCGACCGCTGCTGCGGTACGCTCGCTCCGAGTAAGAGTCGCTCGCTCGTAAGAGTGTTACTGGTAAGTTCGTCAAATTACTAATGCGCTAGAACCTTATCTAAATAACACTCGCATGACGTCATATGAAAATAGAAAGTATAGATAGCAAAGAATACGATAAATTATTAAAGAATGAAGTGATAAATTATTTAATAATTATTAAAATATTTATGAATAATCCCCAAAATATTGTTAAACAATTTATCAATTTTTAGTATGTTAATTTATTGCAAGAATTTCCGAAAAAGACCCATTTATATGTAAATATTGAGGTAAATGGAAAATAAAAATATATGACATATACTTTTTAATAACGCGATAACCAGAGGAGAGGAACATCGCCAAAATAATTATGAAATGAGAAACTTTATATATATTTATTTTTAATGAAATAGGGTTTACTTATTGTGAAAATCATAATAGCAATTGTTATTTTAGTCAACCATGACAAGTAACAACAAAACATAACAAAAATTGTGTGATCTCAACACAACCCCACTCAATAAGTGTACTCATCAACCAGTGTTTATTTATATCGGTACTGATTCTTGAACTACAATATTTATGTTACCAAAATCGCAGCCAGGCGTATTAGAAATTTGCACGGATTTTATAATACAATAAACAACGTAATACTAAGGTATTTTCAATAAAAAAAAAACACGAAATTGCACAACAACTAAAATTTACAATGACTTACCGCCGGTTTCTGAATTGAGAAAATTGCAACATCTCAACTGATTATACTTAATAATTTAAGTTTACTTAAAACGTCCTAGTTTACGCAAAAAGTCCTAGTTTTAGCGAACTGCTATCATTTAAAAAAACAGAAACGAAAACCTATTCAAATGACATTTGAAATGGCCAAGTACGGTTTGAGACATGATTAAATTAAAATTTTCAATTCAAAAACCGTGTGATATTTATAGATATTCTGATTTTGAGCCATTAACTCGCATGATTATCTTAAAATAAGTCGATATTTTTTTACTGTGTCAGGTGACTTATATAACACGATCCGCCATTCTGTGACGTACCTCCGGACACGGCTGTTAGATAAGTTGTAAATTATGCCTATTTATTATAAATCAAATTCCTAAATGACGCTCTTCTTAACTCATTTTATTCTTTTTTTTTCATAGTCGATCGTTAGATGGCTCTGTTATTATCAGAGGTCGGAATTAGGTAGAGTTATTTATGTACTTGCATCGAAATGTTGATATTAATGTGGACCTTCCCCGGATTTCTTTATTTCTTATTTTTTTTTTCTTTCTTTCATTGATGTAAGTTTGGCAACGTCGTGCGTGCAGTAGTTTAAATTGTGTAAAAGTAAATAACTTTTTATTTAAAAAATCACGGGTTTTTTTTTCTTTTCTTTAAAATTAATCTCGAAATTTGAGGCATATCCACATTATTCTTTCGTTGTATGAAATCAGTGTAAGTACATGAATAACTCTACCTAATTCCGACCACTGGTTATTATTTTCACTAAGGAGACGAACCACGGTCCATACATAGTTTGCCTCACAAGTAAATGTCTATGCGTCACGACCCATTTGGATATCTCTTTCAATATTTTATTCTATAATAAGAATATATATATATTGCCTTATCTAGCGGCATTTTGATGTTTCATTATTTTATCACAATATAACATTTTTTTAAGATGCTCTTATTCTTCAATTATATACCATTCTTGAATTAAATCTTTAAAGCAAATTTTTGTATGACAACATTTAATTCGCTAGAATTATCGTTAAGCTGATTATTACTATGACCAAAAACAATTGGGATATATATAATTTGTCTAATTCTTTACTAAGTCACACAACTTTTAGACGAATAACGATTCGTCAATGTATCAGTCCCTTTTCATACATTGATAATTTGTCATTTTTTTCCTCTGAGTATGTAGATTTGTGTTCAAGAACTTTATAATAAGTATAGCAACAAAAACGTATAGGTTAGGTAAGTATATCATAAACAACGCACAAGCCGAGCGAGCGAAGCGAGCGTGCCGCAGCAGCGGTCGGCGAAATGCCAGAAGCAAAGCAACAGTTAGATAAGTTTAGGTCACATAAACGGTGAAATTGGGTATGACAACAAAGGGAGAGAGGAGGAGCGTGTTGACTGTGGGATAACCAGAATCGACTTAACTAATACGAGATTTGATAAACAATAACAACTTAGTGAAAATTACTCTGACTGAATCATTTTCTACTTGAAAGTTGTTATTTAAAAGTGTCATTATAAAAAGCACACGAAACGTACAGTTGGGAATGGTGAGGTTAAGTAATAAAACAAGATTTTACTATAAGTTGGCAAATAATTATCTTATTAAGTCACTTGCGCGTTTTTCATTTCTAAACATGAAACTACACTGGGTTCCATTAAGTCTAGGAAATACACCTCTAGATAGGATGTTTCTACATTTTGTGTTTTAAAATGTAAATTATATCAATGTCATTGTGTCTTTTACGTGTTTTTAGTTTCAAACATGAAACTACTTTGGGGCAGTTTCATGTTTGAAACTAAATGTAAACTAAGGGTCCATCTCCTTTGTTTATTGAAACAACATTTGTACTTAGAGCACATTAACAACGGTCGCTAAACTTAGCGGCTAACTAGTCGATGTACCGCATACAAGTAATAACCCTGAGGGTTTATAATGATTAGTAAAAGTCAACGAAGAATAACGTTGTCGTTATACCGTCTATATTATTCTAGACGGTACAAAGATTGCAACCCCTATCGAACAACGAAAATGTACTTAAATGGAGCTATAAAAAAAATTCAACATCCATATTATAATTACCTCACTATCCATGCAAACTTTACACAGTCTCGCCTCCTTTAACTGGCGATTTTCCTCTTCTAAAGACATCGGCTTCTTTTCTTTAACTGGGCTTTCGACACTCTTATCTTCGGATTCCTCTCCGACACCATTCGTAGTGTTGTTGGGTTGGTCTGTTCGTTCTTTGGAGTTATTTCTTGGTTCGGTATTAAGTGGAGCGGATAAAGGAGGGGGTGAAGGTGAATGTGGGGGCGTTGTCGATTGCGATCTCTGACTTTCTGATCTGTCCTCCCATTGTGATGGTATTATTCTATGGAAATATTAAAAAAAAGGTCCAAATGATAAATAATGTATAGTAAAGGGTTGCCTTTTTACTGTATTTATTAAAAAAAAAAGAGGGCAGTACAGCTCGGCGGTTCAAAAATGAAACTCAAAACCCCACTCAATATTATCAAACTGTTAGTTTATTTATAGATTATTTGTTTTTATTTTGCAAATTCTGAGTTTCTGCACTTTCATATTTTATAAGGATTTTTTAAGTATGATCAAAGATACACGCAAAATATCTAAAACTTAGATAGGTATTACAGTTTTTTATAAAAGATCGCGTTTTATTTTGGAACAGCCGAGATGGATTTTGTAACTGAAATATTCTTGCACATTTCTACAAAACGCAAGGCCAGTTTCTTAAGGTTTTTATGCGTATTTTCTATAAGATAAATATCAATATCGTATGAATTCAAAATTTATGAAATAAAAAAAAATGTTTTATTCGGAAAACAAAATAATATTTGTCTATGACAGTAACTATATTAACACCACTCTCTTAACATATTTTAGCATATATATACAAAATATTAATATTATAAATGTGAAAGTTTCTTTGTTTGTATGTTTGTCTGTCAATCACGCCGAAACTATTGAACGGATTTGAATGAAATTTGGTATACAGATATGGTATTAGAATACTATTTATCCTACTAAACATGTCCCTTGGGATCACGCGGGCGAAACCGCTGACAAAAGCTAGTATACAATATGTTTAATAATAATAAATTACATACCCAGCGCCAGGTGCAAATTCTCTCAATGTTTCTGCTAAAATGTCTCGCGCCAGGCGTTGACTTTGAGGCGTTACACTCCAAGCCTCCTCATTTAGCTGCTCATCTAACACGGCATCAATTAGAGCTTCAGACGAACTAAAAGGGAGACCTGTAAGAAATTAATTAATTAATCAACACTTCATTATACGTACATGCATCAAAAATTGACATAACAGTCAACTGTAAACATTTGAATATTCGAGAATCCGATTAAACACTCTGACTGTCTATTTTAAGTATTTCATTCAAAGCCTTTGAGTTTCTTGTAACACACTTTTGAAGCTGCGGATTACTGCTAAAGTATATACCCAACTTTATAACTGCATCATTCAATTTATTTTCTATAACCATCTTGGGCTTATGAAAATATCTGAATTTTATTGAAGCCTTCGACAATATTTACACCTCCTAGTTACATTTCAAACTTGCCTTCTAATATGTACAATATACATGAGTATTTTAAAGTGGCTGTAATCGTATCTAAGCAGTTATTTGCAACTTTTTTACTGACAAGCTAAGCCTGCTAATTTACAGGCGTTCTTAAGGGAATACACTTAGGACCTTCATTATTTATAGTTTTCACGATAAACCTATCTAGACATCTAGCCTACGATTTACTGCTTTACGATAATGATTTTAAGATTATTTCGGCGCAGTGCCAATCCAATAACATGACTATTTATTTTTTAACGGGATCTGATTTTATTTTCTCTGGTCGTTAAAAATGCCGTTGGAAGTTTATGTAAAATAAATAATAGAAAAAAATCTTTACCAGTGGAGCGTAATCTTCTAGAGAGGGCTCTTCGAACTCTCGCAGCGTCTAAACCAGCACCAAGAGCCGCTAGAGCTGTCCCGCTCTCCATACATTCTTCTACCTGAACACAATAACCAATATTTCACTTTAATTGTGAATGCAAAATTCAATAAGTTAGTAATATCATAAAATTTTTTTGACCATCAATCATATAATTCCAATAAAGTAATGATAGCTTATTACGAATGTAATTGTTCCTGCAGATGGTCAATAAAGCTTTCAATATGCATCTAATGGAATGGAATTTAGAAAAAAATACATAAATGATTATTCGTTATATACATCAGATAGAACAGCTTAGTATAAATTACAGAGCAAAATCAATTTGAGTACATAATTAGAACTATTATAATTATATTACAAAAAAAAAAATTATAAATTATATCATTATTATTACCTATAGTATTTTATGGTTTCACAAAGTTTAGGAACTATTCATTTGCGTACGTTATGTAAGTTTTTAATTATTAAAGGCTTACCTGACTTTCAGTTATAGGAAAATTAACACCGGTGCTTCTACATCTTGAACTCAGTCCACTGTCAGCAGAAAGCTGTAAAATTGTAAAAATTGCACTTAGTTAAGTTAATACAAACAAGAATTAACGAAGTCAATTCAATTAAATTAACAATGTCAATTTCCACTACTCACAGTTCGCTGCACGGACGAGCGATTACGACAATTATCAACAAAGTCTTGCCCCTTAACTAGGAGCACGTAACCGCAGTGAGGGAACCAGTGCGCGTGTTCAGACCATGGCGTATCGCCCGCCTCCCATTTACCGAGACCACCATCGCAATAGAAGCATCTAACCTAGAATATCAGACAATAGGAATATGGATGCTGTAATATAATAGTAATATTTGACTGTGTGTCCATCAGGTAGATTATTGAATAATACATACATACATAAATGTATATATTTTTATTTTTTTCGTAATGGATAAATTACAGCGATAAATAATAGGCTGACGCCTATTATATAAATCTTTATTTTTTTTTGTTAAATTGAAAACAAAAAATACGTACTAAATAATATTTTTATTAAATTGAAAACAAAAAATACGTATTTAATATTTTTCTATTTATATGACTGACAACCTTAATAGAATTTCTTTTTTTTTTTACCCATGCTTCATCCCTATTACAGAGTATTTTCAACTTCCAACAATATAGAAGGATAAAATATGTACCAAGTCATGTTGTTAATATTGTAAAGTTACTACATAAATTTGTAATGGATTGATCTGGTAATAACATGGTTTTTGTGAATGTCATTAGTTCTGTTAGAGCTGGTGAGTTTCTTGCTCGTTCTACTTATCAGACAAAAAACCTCCTGACCGAGTGGTAGGGAAAAAATGTTGGAAGATTCAAAAGTACTTTTAGTAACTTTATTTGAATAAAGATATTTTGGCTTGACTTAAACAACTTCATTGGGTTACAATGCAAAAATTTGATAACGTGTTTTTATTTCATAGATATATGTAAAAATATGCCTATTGGAAATTGCGCATAGACTTCAAAAGTTAATTGTATTTAAAAGCAATATCGCAATATTCGGTCTAGGCTAATACACGCACTTGTGAATGTCACAAAACAACGCCATCGGTTCGCAAGTCTACGTCAAGACACCTCACTTACATTGAGAAGAACTGGCAAGCAACTTAGCAATGCGGCATTTTTTTCTCTGTTTAGTTCATACAGGGAAGTCCAATTCATCAAAACTCTTCACTTTCCATAAAACATTGACAAATTATGTATATATGTACAAAATCACTGAAATCTTTGGTCCTATAATTTGCTAACAATATTGAACCTTATTATTGCGTAAATTGAAACTTTGTATTCTATTAAAACTGAATTAAGTAATTCGTACTTGGTCATCAGTGCCAGCGTAGAAGAAGCCAGCTTCAGCAAGCGCTTGTGGCGCTTGATGTCGGTCCGCGGGCCATCGCTCGAAGGTGGCCAGTCTAGCGGCGAGCGAAGACCGGGACGGATGTCTCGCCCCGCCACTAACCACGCCCAACGCTCGCCACGTACGTCCACTTTCGAGCAAACGGGCGTTGTGTTCTGCACCTGACCTGACAGTTAAAATTAAAAAATAATTAATTCAAATCGTACTCGAATATTCACAAGTGCATATAATTTAAGGCAAGAGTGATAGGTTTCTTCTGGGCAAGCTCATCCCAACGTAGATCCCATTTATGTCCTTAGGCTGTATTGAGATCAAGAAAGCGAAAAATCATTTATTGAAAATACACATACGATTTTTCAATAGATAATCATAGAATGTATCTGATGTGGTATCCAAATGGAGCCAACTCGACATGTGCTGCGGTTTAATTACTGCAGCGTTTATTTTCAGCTGGCACCTTCGGACAGAGGCAGTAATAATAATAATTATAAAACATAAAGTTCCATATACATACATCTATAATATCCATACTTACTATACATAACGAATTACAACAAAAAAATAAACAATGATACTTAAAAATATACCTAGTTACCTATATCAAGAGCGAAATTCATGTAATTGATCTAAAGCTTTCAAGAGTGAGCCCATTTAAAAAACAAGGAGTAACCTTAGTAATAGGTTTAAACCATTATCCGACGGACGGGACAAGTGCTCAAGCATTTGCAGTTACATATATTTTTATCCATACTAATTATAAAAAGAAGTTAAGTTGTTAACTTTGTTAGTTTGTCAGGGGTACTAAAACGACAATAAATTCTCTTGTTTTTTTTTTATGGAATAGGGGGCAGACGAGCAGACGGATCACCTGATGGTAAGTGATTACCGTCGCCCATGGACACCTGCAACACCAGAGGAGCTACAAGCGCGCTACCGGCCTTTGAGGGACGAATATGCTCTATGCTTGAAAGTTTGAAGGTCGTATCGGGCCGGAAATACCGCTGGCGACAAACTGCTCCAGAGTTTGACTGTGCGAGGCAGGAAAACTCTAGAAAAACGCACAGTTGCGAACTGATTTCCGCAATTACAACAGGAAATCTAAAACCATCCCCAATCAAGCTCGGCAGATTTTAATTTTAAACAATCTCAAACTCTATTCATACTCACGTTTAATATTATATATGTATATCAATCGATTTAAAATGGATAGAGTATAACAATAGAATCAAAGTGTTCTAGCAATAGCTGATTAGAAACTAGTCCTATATTTTATCTGTAGCTAGATTCTTAGAAAGAGAAAGTATGACATGAAAATCCACGGCAGCTACACAACAGAGGTGGTCATGGACATAAGTTATCTTCCAGGTACAACGTGCACTGTACAAAATATCCCCCCAAAGAACATATTCTATCTAAATTCGCAATCAAAATATAACAATCCTAGAAGATACTCCTTTCTAGCGATAAAGCCGGCTATGCCATATACTAAGTTTGAATTATTTCATTAGCACTTACGACAACAAGCTAGGCATGGGCTATATGAGGTAAACACTTGATACAAAAATCTTTTTCTCACACTTCAAAAGGTTTTTAAGTTATAATATACTACTACAAAGAATAACTCTATGTAATGACAATTAACGTTTAAAACAAAAGTTGTTTCGTATAGAACAAATGGTTATACCTTCTCCAACATAAAATAAATAAATGCGTCTTCATAGTACTGAGAGAATGTCTATACTGTGTGTTCTACAATACCATATTTTCGTATGTAAACAAAACTATCGGAGTAACCAATGTCAATTCACACTTGGTCACGTAAAGTTATAACCTTCGATGAAGTAGTAACTCTATCTTCCGTATCGCAGTGTGTTATTTATGTCACGTAATATTTAAATGTAATTACATCAACAACAAAAAAAATAAGGCTTTAATTAACGATAAGTTACATAGGCAACAAATGTGCGCTTTTTAAAATTCACCCCAAACCTACAGTAGAAATCATAAAATAATAAAGTTCTAAGATCTGTTCTCTGAATGCCATAACTGGTATATCAATGTCTAGTCAGAACCCGCTTAAGAGATTAATTTATTATAGCTTATATCACCTGCGTATAATGTATCTACACACAGATATTTTTTTTTAAATCGGTCCAGGAGTTTCGGAGCCTATTCAATTCAAACAATCATATTTTTATCATTATAATATTAGTATGTATTAGTAGCATAACATTACTAGCGTGTAAGATTTGGCTACAATATGTTAGACAATGTTACATGCTATAATCCAGTTAAATAACTTTTTCTTATATGCAGTTCTTAAAGTCTCTAACAAATTATAGCTCTTTTTTACAATTGGCTAACTGACACTTTTCGGAAAAAAGTATTTTTTCAAAATTATTTTCAGTTTCAAAAAAGTGTTATTAAATAATGGAAACATACTTTTACTTATAAGTTTTTAATTCTCCCGCGAAAACAATCAGTCGCGTGACGTTTCGAGCCGTGACGTCACATTTTAATAATTATGAGTACGCAATAAAAATGTTGACGTTCAATTTATTGAAATGAACCAGAGGCGTAGCTACCTCCGTATCAATTATATGGGTCCCCCGGCCGAGGGGGACCCCCAACGTACGTAAGCAAAAATTGATAAAAACTTCCAATTTTTTATTTATTTCAGAAATGAAAACACGCGTTTCATAATCGGCAACACCATACATCGGTTATCGCGAATTCCGGGATTTCTCCGTTTAAGTCATTTACTTCAACGGGGGAATCTCACAATAATCGAACATACGATTAAAATTCGCACAGTTTATAATAATAAAGTAATTTAATCAAACATTTATTTTCCTTTTGTGAGAAATCTGTACCCTTCATAAGGGCAAATTTTTATACGGGGCCCCGCCAAGGCATGCTACGCCACTGAAATGAACTCAAAAGTACCGCTACATGATTTTCCGTCATGGGCGACCGCAAATTTATTTTGCAAAAAATGTATTTTTAATTTACTAGCTTCTCTCCCTCCGTGGTCCAGTAATAAATATAAAAATTCTTCTTGAATCACTCTGAATATTGATGAAATCCATTGTGCAGTTTAAAAGATCACAGCGTACAGATAGCAAGAACTTTGTTTTCTACTATGTATAGATTAAAACAAAAAAAAACTACATAGTTATCATTTACATATAAGTTTCATTCCCAACATATTTCATTATTTAATGTTATAACTTTCAAGTAGCCGATTTGTTATAAAAGTTAAAAAAGAACACGTTATTGTAATTTAATTTATTGCACTCACGATTGACGTTGATTGTCAATTGTTACGGGTGGAGATTGAACAGGAGGTGTCTGCAATGGTGAAGTGGAGGGAGGGGAAATACTATTCCTCTGCTGTGCTAACTCCAATGAGGCTGCATGAGCGCATCTGGGGAAATACCTGCAACCATAAACATTATGATTATCATTAAAAGTATTATTACTACACAACTTTTGATCTAAGTACACAACTGATAAGAAATTAATCAATAAAAATTTTACAATACCCAAATTATTTGAGGAAAAAAACTTGTCAGTAGACTTATAAGATTTTTGTCATTAGATTAATATGTCAAAATTAAAACATTGTTTATTGTATTTCTAAGCTCTTACTCATTCATTAAATAATAAATAAATACAAAAACCCAACTATGTGAAAAACAAAAGAAAGATATTAAAAAAAATATAATTACTTTTTGACCAATCAACAGAACCCTGTATAATTTGAATAAGTCCCGATTGTTGATCCTTCTATTCTGCTTAATGCTTACTAGTTACAAAGCATGTAAAGGATGTGAAATGTCTAAAATTGTTATGAAATATTCATGATTAAGAGCATTAAAATGTTGTTATCAAATATAAAGTCATTTGGCCTGATAAAATTGATATTAGCATTTTCTTACATTCTGTGAACTTCAAGAGGTGTTCCAAGTGAACCGAATCTTCTAAACGGAGCCAGTTCACCACCACACCATGCACAACGAAGTCTTCCCTCACCCAAATGGTAAAACCCTGCACTAACAAGTGCCTCTCGAGACACTGAAGTATCCTATACAAAACAAGATAATTCTGCATTGTAAGCAATAATATTAACTTACTAAGTGCTAGTTGCACAAAAGTCCATTAAAATTGTTATTAGTTTAAAGCAACATTGCTAATTGTAAAATTGATGCTGATGAGCAACTTGGGAATTTTGTTTTTGAAAAATATAAAGATTTTCTACTCTAAATATCCATTTTCATTTTGCAGGTTACAATGTGTTTGCTTTCCAGCATCAAAACATAGAACATTAATTAGAGCCAAATATTCTTCATTAAACCTTAATGAGTGTTTGACAACCAGGTGTTAAATGAAACATTATTATTTGTTCTTTACATATATGATCACATCACATTTATATCAATGAATAATAAAGACTATTCTTAAAATAACTTATATTCAATTAAGATGATAAGAGCTTGTGATAGTATCACAGACAGATAAGTTTGTATAACAATATAACTAAATATAACTTTTAAAAACATTATAAATTAAAAAACATTAAGGTTTCTAATAGAATGAAAAAAATAAGATAATAACTTTGAATATTATATTATTATTCAGAGGTAAAAATTTCTAACTTTGTTTGTAAGGGATCTTTGGAAATACTGATGAGATTATGAAAATTCTTAGACCTATTGGAAGCTAGATTACATTCAGGTGACATAGGCTATAATTTAAGTTAGCAAAGTCACAGCAGCTAGTTATCTTATAAAAGAGAAAGCAAGAGAATAAAATATACAGTAGAACCTCGATAACTCAAACCTCGGTAACTTAAAAACCTCTATAACTTCAAAAAATAATATGTTCCCTTCCCAACAGAGCCCAAAACCTCAGTAACTTAAAATATGCAACTTAAATAAGTAATCTCTGTATTGGCCCTCAGTAACTTAAAGAAATGCTTCCACAACCTCTATAACATAAAATTGTTTGTCAGTAACTCATTTTAAAAGAGTGTGCATAACACTAGTTAAATTGTTAATGTAAAAAATACATATGTCAACCATTGTTTGCTTTATCGAAAATCTTTAAATCGATTTAGAAACTGTGAATTGTTTAAAACAAAAAAAAAACAAACTTTTTTAAGTAAACTAAACCTTTAAATGTTGTTTTATTTTTATTTAATGTGTGCAATTAACCTGTCCTTCTGACGCATTCAAGTAAAAATAGGAACATATATATGTACATACCTGCCTCTATATTAACCTATCCCTAACATAAACCCCTGATAACTTAAAACCTCTATAACTTAAAATATTTTGTGTTTCCCTTGGACTTTAACTTATTGAGGTTCTACTGTAGTATAATTTAATGTGATTTGTAAAATAATTGTCTAATTATTTACATTTTGAACAGAACCCACGCTAATTTCATATCACTTGTGAAGGTATGAGCATCAAGATTTATTAACTAATATTGTATTGATGAAATATATTAATGCATGAGAGTGCATAAATAATTTTCAAGGAATTTATAATTTAATCATTTTTATGCCAGAAATCGAAATAAAGGTTAGCATCAATTGTTGCATGATATACTTACATTCCAACTACTAAATGATAAAAGTCGTAGTGCATCAATTTGATACATAGCATCTTCTTCTGTCACACCATAATCCTGTGATGTATCAGCTACATCATTGGAACTATCATCAGGAGCAGACCAAGAAGTGGATGAATCCACGTTTGAAGGGCATTCAGTATTTAAAACTAAGGGAACATTCCCCGAAAGACGCGGATTTACTACAAATTCGCAATTAGGCTCCAAGTGCCTATGACGCCACATCACTTGATCACCATAGTTCCATTCCGATATTTTACCACCACAACTAAAACACTGCACCTCTGTGCCTTCACCCGTATAATAAAAACCAGCTTTTGCAATTCTTATCGGATCTACTGGCGCTGACGAGGGCCAATTCACAAATGTATTAAGCCTGTTTGTTTCAAAATTCATTTTTGGCTGAACACAAACAGGCGGACGGAATAACGTTAGAGTCTAGTATTGTTGAAATTAGCCTATGCAATATTTATAAATTTAACATATCTAACTGATATTCGTTATTTGAAGAGATACAAAGTAAATTAATGGTAATAAATATGAAATAAATCGATCCCTCACGCCTTGACTGACAGGGGACAAACTATTTATGACACTTTATTTGACATTTTACGGTGACATTGACAGTTAGGGATTCGGATCAAAATACATTTTATCGAAAGTCGACAGTTTTGAAAAGATTTGTTTTGAAAAGTTTTGAAAAGATTTGCGATAATCCAAGACAATTTGGATTATTTCATTGAAGAAGTATTAAAAAAAACGAAAGCACTAAAAAAGCACCTCCACTAGATGGCGACTCTACCAAAAGTAGATTTTTGCAGGAAACGAATGGACCAAAGACAGACATTTCCGTTCCTTGTAACTAATATATTAAAAACTGAAATTTGAAAAGTTCCAAACTTAGATATCAATACAAAGACAAAAAGTACAAATAGAATATGAATTGTTTATAAGTTTTGAAAACGAATTTACTTTTATACATGAAAGAAAACCGTAAGGGTAATCATGGAGAAATCAAGAACGTACCGTATTGACATGTAGTTAGATATCGGGAACTATTATTTTTTAAATACTTGCTTATTACCTAGTTAAATTTTTATAAAAAAATTATAAAATTTGGTAAAGTATGAACGCGTACAGTTAGAATTACAAATAGAACCGGCATTCATTCTCCGGAAACAAAATATATTAGAGCCAAGGTGTAATACTTTCGACTTTTGGTATGATATATTTAAGACTGTATTGAGAATATGAAATCTAGACACAATAGTTACAGCTGGTCACAGTTATTGTTTTTTATTTTCAATTTGTTTGAATTACTGTTACTTATATATTACAAGGACAGTCGCGCGCACAACTAAAATGATTATACTATAAGAGTTTTCTTTTATAACATGGTGTAATTATAATGTTCGCAATATCTTTGATATTTATACTAAAAATAATGTAAATGGATAACCTGTTAAGTAACTCAGAATCATCACTATTTACGATAAAGTGGCAACCCATCGCATGTCAGTAGAGATGCAAGTTTCATAATAATATCGCTCTATTTCGGTCATTCTTTATTCATCCAAGGATGGCCTGAGCCCTGTCTGATGATGATATATCGGCTACAGCCGATATATGGATATTTAACGATATATATATTTTTTATCTTAAGTAATTTCAAAAATATTGTTTAGTTAGTTCAAAATTCTAAAATATTGTAAGATTTATGTACTTAAATAAATAACATTGTTATAGTATTGGACTCAAAAAATTATGAAATATTGATTTTTCATAATTTATCTTTAAAATAATTTTTATTTTTTAAATATAATTGGTTTTGGATATCGATATTTTTGGTTGATGATAAATCGTTTCGTCCCTAAATGTCACTTTAGTTCAAAAAGGTGTCAGTCTTGTTTTTGTACTTTTATGTTTTTGTAGCGTAAGTATTTAAAGTATTTTATAAATACCAACGAAAATATGTTTCATTATATTGTATCTATTACTATCATTTTAATTTTTCTTATGGCACTGATTTTATATGTAAGTTTAGATAAAAAAGTGGTATACAAAACTTTGCAAAATAAGCACGTTGTTGTCACTGGTGGTTCGAGTGGTATTGGTAAAGCAGCAGCGATAGAAGCAGCAAAATTGGGCGCGAATGTCACCATAATAGGCCGTGATATTGCAAAATTAAAAATTGCAGTTAGTGAAATTATCGAACATTGCATGGATAAGTCCGAACAAAAGATTCAGTATGCTGCACTGGATGTTACATCAAAGTATGAAACGATATCGCAATGTTTATCAAAATTAGAGTCGGACGTAGGGCCGATTTTTATGCTCGTGAACTGCGCTGGCACATGTGTCTGTGGCCAATTTGAGAACATGAAAGAACAGGATATAAAAATGATGATTGATCTCAATTATTTTGGCACTGCATACCCAACAAGATATGTTCTGAAACCAATGAAAGAGCGAGATGAAGGTTTGATAGTGTTTGTATCATCTGAAGCAGCTTTTATCGGTTAGTGTTAAAATTGAAGTTTTAAACAATATCTATGACATTTACTTCAAAGTAAAATTTAATTTTGATTTACAGGTATATATGGGTATAGTGCCTACAGTGCAGCCAAATGGGCTCTTAGGGGATTAGCAGAATCTTTGATTATGGAATTGGTGGGAACAAATGTAAGATTAACTCTAGCATTCCCTCCTGATACTGATACTCCTGGATTTGAGAAAGAAGAGCTAACGAAACCGGAAGAGACCAAACTTATTTCTGGTTCTGGTGGATTACATTCGGCTGATGTCATAGGCAAAAAAATTATACAAGATGCAATGGTAAATATAATTGGCAACAAACACCTTTAAATTACATAAATATTCATAGATATATTTCTAATCAACAACAATTTGTTACAGATTGGTAGAACATATTCAGTTTTTAGTTTCTCTGGTAAATTATTGTCCATACTGAATTGTGGATCTATTGAAAGTACATCACAAGTTTTGATACAAGTATTTTCAATGGGATTATTACGAGCTATTATAGTAAGCATTATGCTATCTTTCCATAAAATTGTGAAAAATGGCCTAAAGAAGAGGAAACAATTAGAAAAACAAAAAGCTCATTAAATGTTAGTACATCTTTTATTAAGATTTAACCAATATTTTGATAGCTATTGTAAAATGTTTATACTTTAAGTACCTAGTTAAAACATATATTTTATTATTTATGCACAAAAGTTTAGTTGCTAGTAGTTAAAAAGTTCGATATAAGATTATTTTATATAGCATTACATTGCAGAAAAGCTCTTTTTCAAAAAATACAATTAAAATATTGAAGTTTCAACAATTTCATTACTAATCCTTTATGATAAGAATCATATCATAAAAGGTTATAGTTGAAACACTTGACTTTTCTTAATTATGCCAACATTAACAGAATTGCTCTACAGATGGCATCCATAGCAATTTTAATTACATTTACTATTGATATTGATTTTTGATACACTTTTATGAAACTTATTTAAAATTTTATTTTATTTGTAAAATAACAATGGTAATAATTTTATAATATTACAAATTGAATATTTCCATTATAACTGTTGGTATGAATACAAATATCTTAATCTAAACTATTTAAAATATATAAATTGGAAAATTATTACTTACTAATTTTATAGATAAATAAAAATAGTTGGTTGATATATATGTTAGTAATAATAGGTTTACTTATGCTTCCTTTATAGTTTCTATGAAACATACAAAATAATACTTATATCTTATACATATTTTATGTTATACAATACTTATACATACAACAAAAAATAAAAAATTGTAACAAATATTTTGACTTTGAGTCATATTTGAAATTATTATTTTATTAAATTGGTTATTTAAAATGTCATAGTAATCTTAAACAGTTGCCTATTTATTTTTAAGCAGATCCCCAGTTAAATGGCACTGTTATTGTGTCATTAATTTATATATGTATATATATTTTATTATAATGTTTGTTTACATACCAAAATGACTTCATGTCTATAGCGGCCAGGGTATCATCCGTGCATGTCATGAGTATAAAAGACTGTATGTTAATTTAATAAAGTTAAGCCTAAATATTTTTGTGACATATCTAAATTAAATACACATTGACAAGTTAAGATTTTTTCCAACAGAGTAGAATACAGGTTTGTACTTCAAGTACCAACTTGAATTGCATTTATAGATATTTATTGCATTTAATAATTTATAATATTTAAAATAAATAATCAGTCTAACAATAAGTGTTACTTTAAGGGTTTTATTTATTTACTAGTGGCCGCCAGCGACTTCGTCCGCGTTTTCCATTATTCCTTCACTCCTAATAGTTGCAGCGTGATGTTATATAGTCTAAAGCCTTCCTCGATAAATGGTCTATTCAACACAAAAAGAATTTTTCAATTCAAACCAGTAGTTCCTGAGATTAGCGCATTCAAACAAACAAACTTTTCAGCTTTATAATATTAGTATAGATTACACATACTTAACCAAAACTAAGTACACACTCACTAACTGTAAAAAATAAGTATAGGTTTATACTTTATGAATTCTTAATAACTCAAGAGTAAGACTTATAACTATTAAGACTGTCTTTATTTTTTCGTATTCTGGCAGGTTGTTAATGAACATGGTTATCATAAAAAGGCATTTTTAAATCTAATTATGTATCTACCTTTGAAGTAACATGTTTCTCATTTTTACCAGTAGGCAGTATTTGAAAGCATTTCTTAATCTAGGCGACTGCTCTTGCCAATAGGGAATATGCACATTTTTGGAAAATGGTTTTATATGATAATTAACATCGATATATAACTGTAAAAAAATACCCGGCACCGAAAAACTAAAATTTTGTAACATTAATCATTGATGAAAATAAGTATAGCAGTTTAAACACCGGAATTTTTGGCGCTCTTGCCGTGACGTCAAAGTACACGACTGGAGATATGTCATTTTAAATCAATATGGATTTTGAGTGATTGATTATTTTCAATTACCCAAATCGATTAACAACTAATCGATTTTTTAAAATATAATAGACTTTTTTAATAAATCATATAATTTACCAAATTGGTGAAATAAAAATAAAAGCTTAAAACATCATTTAAATTGTAATCTGTTGTTTATTTTGCGACTTAATACTTTGATGTTATTGCATCGATGTTAACTTTTTGTAACAACGACATCCCTATAGGTGTACATTTTCGTCACACCCGCTCTGACAAGTAGCATGGCGTTTACATATTTTAAAGTTACCGCATTTATTTTGCACCTTTTAATAATTATTCTCAAGACGAAAACAAACAAATTTTAAAAAACATTTAGATAGACTTTATTCTAAAGCAATAACGATTGTAATTAAATATATTTAACCCTTTTTTGAATCAGACGCATATTTCCTATTGTAATCTGTTGTTTATTTTGCGACTTAATACTTTGATGTTATTGCATCGATGTTAACTTTTTGTAACAACGACATCCCCATACGTGTACATTTTCGTGACATCCGCTTTGACAAGTAGCATGGCGTTTATAATATTTCGAAGTTATCGCATTTATTTTGCACTTTTTAATAATTATTTTCAAGACAAAAACGAACAAATTTTGAAAAACATTTACAAAAACGAACAAATTTTGAATACCAACATTTAGATAGACTTTATTCTTAAGCAAAAACGATTGCAATAAAAGATATTTAAGCCCTTTTTTGAATCAGACGCATATTCCCTATTGAGCTTTTTGAAACCTAGAAGGACTGAGGAATTTATCTATTTATATTATTGCGCACTATCACATAATTGTTTGTTTGTTATTGCTAAGGTAGCAATTTCTTCCATTTCTTCCAGGTTACCTTTGGTCAAAGGTAATTATACCAATTACAAATTAAGAAAATCGACAACGGGTTAGTGCATTACAAAAATTGTAGAATATAGATAAATAATTGTAAATTAACAACATAATAAATTGAAATAAGTAGACAAAATACTTAAAATATACATAGTTAATAGACACCGAGGTAAAGAAAAAATACTACAGTATTGTTCAGGAAGAATGTTCTATCACAAAGAAATGTTCTTTATTTGTTTAGTAAAAGAGTTACGTGATTGTGCACGACTGATATCTGTTTTTGATACATCTGTCATTCTTTAATAATAAAAAAACTCGACTGATATTTTTAAAATCTACATAGAATCTAATATCGTAGCAGACTAATGTCACCGTATGGACATCTGATTTAATTTTTTTATAAGAACAATAATGACGGATGTATCAAAGCCGAAAGCTGAATGAATGAAGATGTAATAAAAATAACTCAGCTAACAAATCAGTGGAATGGGATGGAATAAATAAGGATAGGTTACGCGTAGAATAGGATAAGATAGGAATGGACGGGTGAAAGACGACTTTCTCCAACATTTGTTACTTTCGGTAGTAGTGAGCGTGTTTTCATCAATAATTTTAATAAAGTACTTAAATTTTAAGCATTTTTCTTTAAGAATAAAATTTAAATATCAATATAGTTAAATTGATCGAATATTATATTTCAAAAATATAATATATTACACTGGACTATTACAAGAATTCTGGTTATAGGCAAGCTTGAATCCTCTGCCTACGTAACCCTCGTCGGATCTGAACCATACCGTTATAGGACCAGCACTATTATCTGAAAGTCAAAAAGACATTTTTAATTAAGATTAGTTTTATAAAGATGTTGAGAGAGCACTAGCTGCTTTTCTCCGACTTCGTTCATGTTAATTACACATAGAAATTTCTGTTTTATGGTCTATAGTACGAACGCCTAACTCTCTAGCTATATGATACGAGATCATAGCGATGTTATGGCGATATTTCGTATCATTTTACTAGTTTGACATATCTTTAAGTAGATTTTGGGTTAAATGACTTAAGTTGGTCGCATTGCTGGAGTGGGTCATGACCCCCAAGGCCACCCCTAGAACCGCCCTTTTATAAAATTTTAACTATCTATTATGAAATAAATAATTTCACCAGTAACAGGAGCGTCTAAGGAAAAGTCTTGTAAGATGGAGCCGTCGTTCAGTCGATCACCGCAGAGTCTGGTAGCTGATATTAAAAGCCAATCACTGGGACAGTTGTATATCTCCACTCCAGCTTGGTCTTTAGGAATAATTGGTAAGCCATCTGGAATAATATCATGCTAGGTTTTACACTGACACCCGTATTCACTCACCTTGAATAAGGCATAGCTTAACTAAGAAACTACTAATCTGACGAATCGCTTAAGGCTTATTAAGCAGATTAGTTTAATTACAAATAATATATTTTATTATCTCTTGACACATTTGTGACTTATCATATAAGCGTAAGGCGACGCCCATAACGCATGTCGTAACCTTAGACATTGCTTAGTTTTGTTAGGTGGTTCCTAGTATTAGTGCAATGCGTTTTCACCGTAGGCACCATAAATAATACGAGCTACGTAGGTAGTTATTATGTCTCGGAAAATAGCATTAATGTTCTGTATCGTCTTAAAAATTTTGTGGTGGAAATGTCCTTTTGGGACATTATTTTATTTTATTTCGTATAAATTAGCTTTCCGCCAGCGGCTTCAGCCGCGTGGTTCCTAGGGAACTGTTTATTTGGATATCGATTCATATCATGACACGAATATAATAACAATGACAAAATGAATAGTAAACAATGGTTAGTACTTATGGTAACGCTTTAATTTACTATACAAACTTACACTCCCATTGTTATTCTTTTATTTGCTGTTTTTCGGGATAAAATATAGCCTATATTCACCTCATCTGATGTAGTTTGCCGTAGGTGAAAGATTTTTTTTAAATCGATCCAGTAATTTCGGAGACTTTATAATTATTAGTTTAATCTGTGAATTACTAAGGAGAGAATTTAAGCTAATGTTTTATGCATTATATAGAGTATAACAAAAGACGTAATTTAAATCAACCATAGTAAAATATGAAAACAAAGAACTTTTTTTTGTTAACAAAAAAAAAATATGACCATAGCATTACGGGTAATGGTAAACGAAAATAAATACTATTTTTTCTGGTAATGTTTCATGTACTATTATTACCAATAGACATACTTTCAAGCTTATTATATTAATAATATTTCTTAAATTAATTATAAAAAAAACTAATATTTTATGCTCATTGTCACCTGACCGCAAATAGCGCATAACATCACAACCCTCTTACTCATATCAGAACTTAAAGAATTCAATCTTATGCATACATAGATCGATATTCGTTTCAGTGTGCCGTGACGTCAAAAATTAAACTTATTTTTAGATTTTGACTGATTATACGAACGATATTTTGTTATATATATATTTATATATGTTTCATGTATATAAAATAAAAGATGTATTATACTTGAAGCAGAGGTTATTCGAGTTCAATCAAAAGAAGATAACACAAATGTTGTCTTTACATGTCATTCTAAACTAAGATCCCTTCTTGCACTGAATAATTTGTCAAAACATGACCAAGACTTCATTTAAGATTATATAATTGTTTATGATTACCTAGGTCGTAGTTAACAATTTGCATGTAATCGCTGTTGCTGTAGGTCACACTACAAGTTTCTTGAGCACGTCTTATACACATGGCGTAATTAAGGTTGTTCTGGAAATAAAACATTACCTTTACTATGTGATACATAATATTAAGGGCACGATCTAGATTTTTATTTTTTATATGCCCGGCCAACATCTCTGGCTTGGCCCTACACTGCACCCCACTCAGTAGCAGGCATTTGTAATTTGTAACTTCTCATACATTCCAGTTTCGATCTAGTTATTAAGCACCACTCGGCATAAATTAAATTCGGCTAATAAACATCAATCATCATATTAGTTATGAGCTCGCAATTAAAAAGATGAGGATGCAAACTATGTAAATATGTCATATTCTTGGAAGTGTAATAAATAGGTAAACACAATATGTTAGTCTACTGGGGCTTCTGAACAAGTATGTAAAAGTAATATTATTAAAAAATAAATAAAAAAAAAATAAACAAAAAATATATTGTTTTAGAATCGCAAAACGTCATCTCGAGGAAGTCAATGGCGAATTGGTTAGCGCATTCGGTCTGCGATGCGGAAGTTAAGAAACTTTCGCAAAGGCCGGTAATAGGATGGGTGACCAAAAATTTATCATCCTGACCTCCTCCGTGCTTCACAAGGAACGTTAAGCCGTTGGTCCTGACTGCACGTGCAGTAGTTAATACCCAATCCGTGATAGGTACTTTTGGTAGGCCATAGCCTATTCCACCTATTTTATTCTATTCATACGGAATCATAAGAAAGGCTGCGCTGTAGCAGTAGGGACATTACTAGGCTGATGACGAATTATGAATATAAAAAAAAATCTGATTTTTCTCCTTAAATAAAAAAAAATGTAGACTCCATTGCCTTCATTTTTGCAATCAAAACAATAAAATATGGTAATACCCTTAGGTTGGAACGTACAAGAAATCTGTATATTCTTGACGAAGACAAAAAATGTGTCTAAGTGTGCTAAAGGTAGCAAACATGAAATTCAATAAACAGTACAGTACGTGTAATAATAAATCGGGATAGGTATAGAATATACATTAGTTTATTAATAATAAGATTGACAATTACAATTACTTACCAAGTAGCTAGGAATTCGCGCTATACCAATTTCAGATCTATCTCTATAGTTAAATGATTCCAAAAATCCTTGTGATTCTGTATAATACTGTAGACATCCAGTGGGTGCCGCTAATTCATCAGCCCATGTGAGTTGAGATATCTATAACAAAAAGAAATACGTAAAAATTTTATCAGATTATTTACTAATAATACATTAACATACAGGGCCGGATCAACGATTGTTAATAACCGGGGCAGAAATTTTGTAGGGCGCTTTTGCTCTACCTCCCCCCTACTATATTTTTACAGTGCACGTTTTTTCTTTTATTTCAAATATTTCCAGACGGACTCTGGCGCCCGGGGCCATTGCCCCACTTGCTTCCCTCTGATTCGGGCATGTTAGATAGTAGGTACCTTAATTGAAAATAATCTGTTCTCAGATGAATAGGTTTGAACCGAAAAGTATATTGGACCATCTGAATCACCCACTTCTACATAAGCTGTAAAAGAAATTAATAATTCACATAAGTTTCAATAAAAAAAATATTATACATACATGAGGATCTAAAATATAGGGAGATTTTACGAGTCGATACTTACCATGTTGACCTGTGTTGATTCCACACAAAATAGGTATAACGTTATTTGTGTTTTGACCAGACACAACGAATTGATCTTGCTTACAGGTTCCGCCTGTTGGTCCAAGTAACTGAAATAAATATCTAAATATTAGATAATATTAACTCTGGTATGTTATGGAAATCCGAAACATTGATTCTACAGATAGACAAACTTGAGACGCAGTAAGTAAAGTTTGTTTTTTGCATTTAATCAGTAAAAAATCGAACTCGAGACCTTATTTATTTATTTATAAACTTTCAAAATAATGATGGCGACATCCTGAAAACTGATGAATAATTAAATATCCAGTTTCTTTCCTCAATAAAACATTGGTGTGATAGAACCTACCAGTCATCTACTAGTGCATGAAAAGATTGACTTACATATATTGGCAGTGATTAAAGTAAAGATTAATAGACATCTTAATGGACTAAAGTTTGAAATTCTTTAGCGAGTTTTACAAACGTTAGTTTGTAAACAACAGAAAGTTAACTTTGATCGATAGTATTTATAAAGTACTACCAAATATAGAATCCTGTATCTTTAATGCTGCTTTTAATCACTACTGTACCATTTATGAACAGTTATAGTTGGTAAGAAAAAAGGACAGTTGCATTTTGTTATTAGTAGGAATTTAGGAAAAAAAAAACAAACATATATTTTGTATGTAAACTTACCTCGAAAGTTACGAAGTCCAACCGTAGCTGTTTGATATCATTTGAAGCTTTATTCAGAGTAAAAATGCACGATAACCCTTCTGAACTAGGCGAAGGAAATCCTGGATTGGTGAACCAACCGACGAGCTCCGATGATTTGCCATCGCATAAAAATAGGGCTGCAAAAATATTCCCATTCAGCATTTTTACTGTACACATATGCATCAATAAGGAGGATGAATTTAAATGCTTTCCGCTATATATCATGTGTTTGCAATTGTTCTAATTAACGAAATGAATGACTTACTGACGCAGCAAGTTCCATAACCATCTGCACACGTTCCCATCATTGAACCTCCGTTGGATTCGCATTCATATTCGTGAACACAAGATCCTTCCAAACCGCTACTTGAAATACACGCCACATTTTCAAATTCTACAACTTGGAAAACTTCTAAAAATCGCGATTTGGGGCTTTGCTTAGATTGAATCAGTTTGCTCTTTCGTATATTAGTATCTGGACATCTTCTTTTAATAATCTTTCTATTAGGCCTTTTTCTTTTAATTATATTAACAATGTTTACCGTATTATTGTAATTTAAAATTTCTAGTGGTTTGTTTGTATTTCTGTACGTATTGTAATAATCTGAGCGTAGATCTGATTCCATTAGTTCTGGAACTTGTAATTCTTTCCGATTAGATTCATTAATTGCGTATGGAAGATCTTGAAAGGGTCTATATAGAGATTTTTCATCAAATTCAATTTGGTTTGCGTAATCCGTTGCTGCCAAAGGTATTAAGTTTTGATTATTCTCATATGCATATATATTTGTCAAGGGTTTTCTTTCGTTCACATTATCAAGACGTAGTGTAGCTGGATACCAATTTTCTCCGTGGATGTTCATAATAGTCCAAAATATTATAATTGCTGGTTTTTTAAGACACATTTTTATTTATTTAGTATCGCGTTTTCCAAATATTTGATGAATGTCAGCGTATAAGTGAAGTTGCACTGGAACTGCATTTCTAGAGACGATGCACACGGCTTACTCCAAGGGGACAGCATAACGGATATAATTATCTAGAAACTGTTCTGGTTTGTTTTCTTGACCCAGTTGTCGTAAAATATTAATAATGTAGAAAGGCTAAACGAGTCTATGGCTACAATCACAGTTCACATTAAATTTATTACATAATTATTAATTGATATTAATTATTTTATTAGCAATTGTTATAGTTCATACTTCAGCTGACAATATTTATATAATAAAAATTTAAAAATTAGAACCTACTTTAAAATTTAAAAAAAGTGATACAAATACTTATCTCGACTCTCGAAAAGCGACTTATTCAAGAAAATGCTATTGAAGTCGGACGGAGGTCTTCTGTAGGTTTATTAAATAAATGATAGAGTATTTTAGATAGACTTTTCTTTTTATAATTGGTGTCGTCACCGTCAAAAAAAAGGTGAATCGGTCAACCCGTTCTTGAGTTTTGCATTTGTAACTCATTTATCACATATCACATGCGAATGCAAAACATTTAACTGTTACTGATGCAAGTCACTCATAGACCTAGGAACAATCTATATTTCTGCGTGTAGATTTCTAATATGCCTATTTCTTTCGTGATAATGTGGTGACTTAATTAGGTAGGCAATGGTCTGACATGTTTAGGTCACATGCTTGTGCTTGGCGAGTGAATAGAGGCTAGACATTAGACCGCGCCCTATGTAATTTAACACGTGTTCGACTTATGATTGTGTGGAGTATTTAGATTGCCGTTTAATTGTTAACCAATTGTAGTTACATATTTATTTATCTATCTGTTGTAACATTTTGGAAGAATTCAGTACGTTTAAATAATTTAATATTTTTTTAATGAAGAATCTGCATCTGGTCAACGAATAATTTTTTAGCTAAGTACATCTGGTAGGTAATTAAATACTTCGTTTCCAGAGGTCCACTAGACATTGTTTTGGTTCTAAATACTAAATATGGGAAAATTGCATACCCACATAACATAAAAATAACTAAAATATTAGCAAAATTGAAAATAAAATTACAATACATTACATTACGTTTAAGTTTAAATAAAAAAATTTGTAATTTTTGTTTCGATATATTTTTACTAAATTGTTAAAATTAGATTTGTAGTGTTCCATACCCAAAGGTTAAATAGAAAATTTAGGTACTACTAAGACTTCACTGTCTGTGCGACTGTCACCAGTACATCTTAAGAACTAAAAATTAGGGCAGTAAAACTTTTTGCTCTTGACAACAACTACTGCTGTAGTTTTTTAAAGCTTTTATCTGTTATTTATTAGACACTGGCCTAATTAATTTTACACCTTCGCTTTGATACGTGCCATTCTATCTCATTAAATTTTATTAATATGAAATGCATGGTCGATAGATTGTCCTCGCCGCGCCCACCTAGCAATGTATCACTTTTTCCGAAGCTTTGCCGAATGCAACATGCAACATACACAATGACTGCCCTAACACATTACGTCATTTTATATCTACTGCATATAAGGACATATATATGTGTTGTCACATCAGGTCTGTATATAAGCTTTAAAGGGTCTATTAGCGAGACCATATCACTCCTGAGCTTTGTGGGAATATAACAAACATGTTGTTGAAAGTAAGTGTTCTTATAATTTCATAAGTTTTACTTATTTAAGTTATTCATTTTATATATAAAAAAATTAAAATATTATGTATAATATGAATAAGTAACATATACAAATAGGGAGTTGAAAAGATTTTTATTTATGATGATGCATTCTTTTAAAGTCGTACCCAAAATATCTATCTCTAATCTTAGAAAACAACTAGCTTTCCACCGCACATATGTTATTTTATGTTTAGAATTATCCTTATACCAAATTCCACCAAAATCCGTTCAATAGTTTTTGAGTGACATTCTCACAAACTATCGCATTTATAATATCAGCAGGATAGGACAGGATTTTAATCCAAATATAAATCATGTATAATCTTTCCTTCAAAATTAAACCTTTCTAAATTACTAACACCAGTCAAAACTAAAAAAAAATAGGTTTTAATAAGAACTCATCTGACGCAAAGAGGGTATATGCCAAAATCCCTTCCGGTTTTTCCCTTAATTAACAAATGTGATAAAACCAGGATGGACGGGCCTATTTACAGTCTAAAATACTGAACCACTTAATGTCTTTTCTTTTATTGTTTATTTCTCAGTTACTTCTCTTGGTATGCGTGGCGATGTCTGCGCAAGCAGGTGGGATTTTAGCCCCCGTCGCATATGGTGGTGCCTGGAACCCTTACAGTTCATATCCTGCACAACCAGCGATCGCCTCTCAGCACTCTAACATACTTAGATCGCCTTTCAACTTGGGACAGGTAGAGTATTTTATAACATTCTTCGTATTGCATTGTCTAGCAAAGTCTGGTTTCTTAACAGACACACTTTTAATTCCAAACTCAAGACGGTAAATTTATCAGTTCCTAATCTCAATTTTTTTTCCAAAATATGAGCCAGAATTTCACCTTAATCAATATCGACATCATTAGGAAGATGAGTTTCTAAAATATTCAAGTTTCCTCAGAAACTCAATATGTAGAGTTAATAGCATGTAGAGCCTCCAAATAACTTTGATGACTTTTTCTGAAATATATAAGCAGAGTTGACAGTATGTCGACACCTGCAAGGAATAACATCGTAACTCACTTTTTGCTGATATCGAGTTAAGTTGAGCTGATATGTTTGAGATACAATGTAATTTTATAAAGTATCTGTAAACGATTATGATTGTAACCCAGAAAAACACAAAATAAATCAACAAACATATAAATTCATAAAATTGATATCTATCATAATTTCCTACAACACTTACTTTAATTTCCAAATTCGGGTGGTACTAGGACCTTGCCGAAATTGGTGAGGTTTTTTTAAATCTTCATCATGCTCTCCTGTAAAACATCTACTGAGTTACGATACTTTTCCTTGCAGGATTCAATGTAGAGCCACCGATTAACTTTGATGACTTTAATCTTAATAACGTGACATGCATGCTGCTTTTGGATTTTTCTTAATAACTGATATCACCTTTTGATTCCGATAAACTTTTTATAAGTTTAGTTTTAGTAGGTTCTATTTCATAGATTCTTATTTTAGTATTTTTTAAAGAAGCTGTTTATTCGTTCGTAAGGCAGCTAAAACATTCAAATTTCTTTAAAATATAAATGTTGAATGCAAACAAAATTTACCGTAAAAAGTTACCGTATATGAATATATATCTATATCTTCACGTTTATGAATAAAATGAACAAATAATATTTCAAGCGTTTACCTGTTGTCGTTATTAATATCGAGCAAAATAAACAAAAAAAATCTCGTTTGTTGTATGGGAGCCCTCTTAAATATTTATTTTAAACTGATTTTTATCTGTTGTGGATCAGAAATACATTATCTGTGAAAATATCAACTGTCAAACTTTCACGGTGCATGATAGACAGCGTGGTGATAGACATACAGATAGCGAAGTCTTAGTAATAGGGTTCCCGTTTTACCCTTTGAGTACGGAATCCGAAAAACTAATGTTTGTTTCGTACCACAGGTATCAACCTACTCAAAAGCAATTGACACACCCTTCTCGAGTGTTCGTAAATCTGACATACGCGTCAGCAATCCGGGCGTAGCTGTGGCCCCTGCCTATGGCGGTATTGCTGCTCCGGCTTATGGTGGCATTGCTGCTCCATACGTGTCACATGTGGGTGTGGCCGCGCCTGTTGCTAGGGTGAGAAAGTTTTTATGCTTATATAACTACAATATTGCCGTTTACAGTTGCTGACGTAGGTACTATTGCAAAAATGACCATTAAGGTTTAATGACGATTTTAAGCTCTAATTAATGTTCTAAATTTAATATTTTATAATGTAATGTCGCTTTAAACTATTGATAATTTTAATGGTCGTTTGCTCGACTGTCTCACTCTTATGTTTTTTTTTTACAAGTAAAGAGATCTAAAATTTCGAAAAATACAAAATATTGTGACACTCGCTTTTGGTTGTATTTCCAAGTTTCGAACCGCAATAGGAAAACTCATTATTAGCCCTGTTACGTTATTTTAAAGGGCCTTGTGGATGGTTAAGGAGGATGACCCATAATCCTCCACGCTGGCCCAATGCGGATTGGAGGATATTAACGGTTGCAAATGCAGCCGGGAGCAATCGACTTCATTAAATAAAAATAAGTTTCATTACTCTTAAATCTGCTTGTTGGATTTTACTTAATAAATTATTGGTAATAATATCCTTCAATTCGTTTATATCAAAGGTTGCTGCTGCCGGTGGACTTCTTGGTGTTGCATACTCAGCGGCACCAGCTGTGTCCCACATGACCTACACGAACGGACTCGGTCTCGCTTACGCTTGGTAAACGTGGAAATAAAAGTGAATAGTATTACAGTAATTATTATGTACCTACAAATGCACTGAAAGATTCTCCTATATTTATTACCTTATAGATTTAACTTTAGATAATAATAAAAAGCAGTTACGAACAAAGAATTTTTATTTAATTATGATTAATTTACTAACTTCACGTTAGTGGATAAAAAAAAAACAAGGGGCTAAGTGAGAAATACTCTCAATGAAGGCCCGAGCTTAAATTTTTAAGCAGTCCGGAGCATTTAATTTATTTTCCGAAGGTTAATGTATTTTCTACGTACATGAAAAGCATAAGCTACTACAGCCATGGCCATTAGATCAACTTAAATATTCTAATAGTTAAGTACTGATACTAGGAACAATAATAAAGTAGGTACAATAAAGTATTTTCCTTCCCGAAGTTCCTGAATACCCTTTCTTAGAACTTACAGAAAATTATATAAATAATTATGTTATGTAGATAGGCTGTGGTATAAATATAAATTGGATCAACAAACATGATGTGGATTAGTAGGTATTTGCAACAGTTGTGACGATTATTTACATAAATAATTGAACAATGAGTCACCTAAATATGAATGAACCCCAGGAATAGCTCCGGAAACACAGATACCTACGGATAGATTATAATAAATCAAAAGCTTTGCTGAAATTAGTGTTCAATACATTTAAATAAAATATTCCAGTTAGTATATGATACTAAATGGTAGCTTCTAGTTTTGACAAAACCATGTTGTTCTAATAAAATTTTTTGATGAAATGGTTTTGCAAAGTAAAACCTTAAAACTTTGGATTAGGTTTATTTATATTTCATTTTTATCAATCGAAAATTATATGCAAGAGACCATATGGTTTAGATCCCTTTGCATTTAACAAACAATATTCACTTGACAGTGGCATAGGGGAGTTCGATATGTGTTACAATTTTTAGCAATCGAGTTATTTGAGTAATATATTTACTTAAATGATACGAATGTTATATGGTATATCAAACGAATATCACTTGAAATATCAAGTCAATTGAGTGGTTTTGGAATGTTCGATCAAGTCACTAAAAGGTTTTCGAATCAACCCATGGATTTTGAATGATCGAGTCATTCGAAATGTTTTCGACTAAAAAGGTTCATAGGATAAGAAATAAGTTAGATTAATAAATTTGAAAAATTATTGCATTCACAATGCTATACTGGAAAATATACTTGTTGAAAAAATCCACTAGCCCCAGGATACTCTGAGATGAAGAATATTTTCCAGTAAGTTAGATATCAATAAAACTGTATCAGACGACTGTCAAGTGGTTAGGACATCGATTTCAAGGTGTCACCATCTCTGAGCTGTGGTCCTTGTGGATTAATGAAGAAAATTAACTATTCTATATTATCTCTGCTCTGGACATTGACAACGAAGGCACTTACCAAAGTCCCTCTGTGGGTTGCGTAAGAAATACAATGCCCGATATTTATTTGTTATTATTTAACTAGATCGGTTTCTTAAAAATCAGCAATAACAACAGATAACAGTAATAGTTTTATAAATATTAGTTAATTTATAATAATCTAATCTAGCGGTTGGCAACACGCGGCCCGCGAATGTCTTACTTGCGGCACATGAATGTTTTGTTTATAAGTTTTAAATATCAAAATAAATTCATGAACAAACCACGATCGGTCGTATCCATCCAGTTTAAAGAACGTATCTCGCTTACTCACGTACATAACTAACATGGTGTTCTAACATAATAATTATACTATGGTTATATATTCTCTTTGCCGCGAAAAAACAACGCGAGCCCGAGCGTATAAAATCAGTTACTTGTTAGTAGTTACTTTATAGTCTTCATTCAGTGTACGAAATAAATTTAGTATGTTTTAACAATTTTAATAGCATTTTTATTTTTCTCTAGGATATGAATAATTATTCGTGGGCTATATAGGTTATAATGGGCTTCTAAGGTTAATTATCACAAGTGCGGCCCGTCTTTAGTTTGTATTGCCACCTTGTGGCCCTTGCTTACCAAAAGGTTGCCAACCGCTGATCTAATCAATCGAGAATGGGATATAGTGGATATGTATACTCGTGTGAAATTGGATAAATATTTTATTCACATAAATACTAGTTATTAAATTGATTGAAATAACCAAATAAAAATCGATTTATGCATCACTACGCACAAGCAAGACCGTGACAATGACATACGTGATGACAGTGACAGTGACGTAAAAATGACAAAATTTGCTTTGGCAAGGGCAAGATAATTTCCAGATCACATTCGTCATGATAAATTTAAATTACCTGTGTATATAAATAAAGATACCAGCTAATTAACTCTGTTAGATTGAGAGCTCAGACTTTCTGTGCTATTATATTATATATACTGCTATATTCAAATACAAGATAGTATTACATCAGTTAAGATAAAGTGCACCTTGTGAGTTCGGCAAGGGATTTTCAGTAGTTTTTGGCTAATACACTCGTGAAAATGTATGATAGCGACAGCGATATAGGATGGACTTTCTATAAAGACAGACCAGAGTGGAAGGATATCACACCTGTTCCAGAAGACGATGGACCTAACCCTGTAGTAGTTATAGCACATTCTGAAAAATGTACGTTCAAATTGTAATTTATAAATAAAAATGGATAGTATTTTCTTAATATTTTGTTAGTGTTTATTTCGTTATTTAGGAAATTCTAATTAGTTGATTATTTTCAGTTGAAGACGTTTATGATTATTTCCGTGCTGTACTACAGAAGAATGAAAAATCAGAGAGAGTACTCCAACTCACTAAGGATGCTGTTGAACTTAATCCAGCTAACTATACTGTCTGGCAATATAGGTATGTAAAAATACTTCAGTAGGTCAGATCAAAAATGATGCAGTCCAACATTAAATCAAACCAGATACAGAGGGTTAAAATTCAAATTTAAATTCATTTTCAAATTCACCAGGTTTAACTAACAGTTTTGATGATTTTGAGTTATAAGCTTATTTGGTACTTGTGAAATTAATTAGTGTTAAATATTTTTCATATAATTATGCACACCAAAAATGTTGGTTAGCTTTGGAAGGTAAGAAGAATAATGAAGATTTTTTTTATAACATTTGATCATTTTGCATTCACAATGCTATGCTGAAAAATATTCTTAATGAAGATTGCTTAAATATCCAATTTGTCCCTGGCACTGAGACGGGGCTCGAACCTATGATTTTTTGCATTCCAGGCGACTGCCCAGAATCTCAAGAGTGCCAGGTACAAATTGGATTTGAAGCATTTTTCATTAAGAAGAATTATTTTACTTATATTTTCAAATACAACAAAATTTTAACCAGTACTTTGTACATTTTTAAAAAGGTTTTTTGTTTTCATTTCATTCTGGAAATTTAAAGCAAAATTTATAAAATAAAGGTTTTATAAATTTCAATGCCACTTTAATTTTTATCCTAATGATTATCAACTCCATACCCTTTTGATAATTTTCTATTTATAAAGTAAAAAAATAACTTTAATATTGTTATGTTTTGTTTTATTAAAAAGAAGTTAGATACTGCATGATAATGATATATGCCTATAATATAAATTTATTGTAATTATTATTGTAAAATTTTCAGGAGGGATATACTTAAAGCTTTAGGCACTGATTTAAGATCTGAGCTGGACTATGTGGAATCTGTTATTAAACATTCACCAAAAAATTATCAGGTAGGATACAGTGATCACCATTACTTTGTTTAATATAAATTAATCAACAATGTTTTCTATTTGATGTCAGCCAGTCATCATTTAGTGGGATAAAAGGAACCAGTCAAATACTTCAAATTATCATTATACCAATTTCATCAAAATCCATTCAGTAGTTTTTGCATGAAAGAGTAAGAAACATACATCTATCATCACAAACTTTTGCATTTATAATATGTATTTATTATATAGGTATGGCATCATCGTAGGGTGCTGGTAGAGTGGCTTCAAGATCCCTCACAAGAGTTAGAGCTGACGGGCGATGCATTGTTGCAGGATCCTAAAAATTATCATGCATGGCAGCATAGACAATGGGCGATGAAAACTTTTGGGTGAGTATATTTACTGAAGAAATAAGTTTGTTGATATTTTATCAAAAAGTTTGATCATATCACACTAGCTTTCTGCCTCCGGATTTGACAGCATATTATGCTAACAAACCTTTCTTTTGAATCGCTGTATATTAATGAAAATAAAATCCAAGGTGTAGTTTCTTCTAAAATATCTCAGTAAACTTCCCCCAGACTGGGAAAAGTGATTATGTTTTATACTATGTGTAGATATTTCTTCTCATTATTTAATATTTAGTTTGATTTCTGTGTCCAAAATTAACGAGATTCTATTGCCTTGGATGGTTGACATTTTTACAAGTATTTATTTTCTATAGTAAAAGTATTCTAGCTGCTTTAACTTTAGATCACAGTAGTAACAAAAGTAAAGGAAACATACTGTACAAAAATATAATGAAATACATGTCTTAAAGAAATACAACATAAAAAGGTAGGTAAAATAAAATGCTTGTTTGTAAAGCGACATTAATTTTACAACAGTTGTAAAGATTGCTCCTGAATTTCCTCATAATTAGTATAGCAATTGGTGAATCAGTGTGATATCAAAATACCCTATTTGATACCACTTTGTAAGTAATTGAGACAGATAAACATATTTGCATTTCTTATAGCATTTGGAGGTTTATTTGTAGTTCTTATTAAATATGTGTTTTGTTAAGTACTGTAAGATTTGTATGTAGATAATGATTGAATCTTATATATCATAAAAAGCTTTTTCATAATTATTTTTAATGAAAATGAAATGTTTAAGACGAGTTATCGACCGGGTATCGAAACTAGGATCTTTGAGATGAATGTCTCGAAACAGGCGTGCGAGTACTTGAATGTGGTCGACTATTGAAAGCCTTTCACTGCAGTTATTCTCATTTACATTGCGTCAATATATAGCATGAGTCCACCCTGGAGGCTATCAATAGTTAAGTAATGCATTCACTGATCACATATGTAAGGGATTTGTTATATATAAATTTTACATGTGAAAATTATTTTATCAAGCGCAGTTCAAATTCACTATTTTTTGTAACCAGCTTTCTGTCAGCAACCTCGCCCGCGTTATTTACGTGATGTTCCTACGTTTTGGCCATTTAGATTAAAGATATTGCCGGCTGGATGTGCCGTAATTCATATTATTAATAAGTAGTGGAAAGATTTCATTATTAACATTGAATAAGCTCAACTTATTTCATCCATTTACGCAAAGAGTTTTCACAAATACACCTGTTTTACTTATTTATAACCAGTAGCCTAAAAATAAAGTATCTAGATTTAAAAAGGTTTCTATACTAACTTTTATTTCATATTTCGCTCCCTTTAGGGATGAGTTTCCAAAAGTCTTTTCTGAATTAATGTCTACTCCACGAAATAATTCTACTGACTAAACATCGTGCGTTCAACTTCAATAGTTTACGCTTGGCGACGATGAGTCAAACGGATTTTTTTTTTATAAAAAGTAGATAGTTTTTTTTATTAGGTATATATTTTTTAGTTAACTATAAAAAAAACTTAATTACGTGTCTCACGTTATCATACAATGTTACATATCTTTCTTATAGACCCATAGCGTTTACCAGTGTTCCTCTTATGTTAATAATATTTTAAAGACTATTTCACTAGATTACGGAGTCCGCATTTAAAGTGCAGAATCAGTGGCAGCCTTAGGGGTTAGGGGTGGCGAACGGGGCAATCGTCCGGGGCTCGCGCAACAAGCCAAGCAAATTTAAAAATACATATATTTTTTTAACAATTTATATAATATAACATAGCAATTAATTTAAAAAAAAGTTAGTTAACGAAACCATTCATTCTAAACATAATTGAATAACCCTTCGAACCACTTGAAGATGGGTTTTTAATGGCATAACACTTTGTATAACTTAAGTATTTCCCCTCGAACATGACAAATACTTAACCCAAAATATTCTGCACTTTAAATGCGGTCTCGGGGTGCGAGTGAAATAGTCCTTAAAGGTGTCGTCTGTGAATGTTTCTCGTACGCTAATGTCTTATCGTGTTTGTTACAAAAATCAACCGCACTGCAAATGCGGACTCCGTCGACCCTTATAAGTACCGTCTGCGAGTGTTTCTCGTACTATATTAATGGTCTTATCATGTACGTCACAAAACTCTCCTGCGCTTCATAATAGACTCCGTCGACTATTGAAATTATCCTTATAGCTAATTTAGATTAGTTTATATTATAATAAATTAATTTGTTAATTATTCAATTTAGTATAAATATTATAACAGTCAGTTTAGTTCAGTTCAAAATAAACAAGTTCGATAATAAACTACCTATCATTTATATATTTCTTAATTAACTCTGACGATAATTGAAAACTAAGACTAATAAATTATTTTTATTATATTCCAGACTTTACGGTAAAGAAATGGAATTTGTCGAGAATCTGATTAAAGAAGATGTCCGCAACAACTCTGCTTGGAATCAACGATACTTTGTCGTCAACAATCACTTCGGCTGGTCTGATATGAATGTACAAAAAGAAATATGCTATGCTATGGAGAAAATAAAGTTCGTGAAGAATAACGAGAGTGCTTGGAATTACTTGAGAGGTGTAATGCTGCATGACAAGAGAGGTATTAGTGGAAATGCTGTGGTCACTTCATTCTGTGAAGAGCTTTATAATAATAAATGCCGGTCACCTTACCTATTAGCGTTCATCATTGATATATGTGATGACGCAATAAAAAAGGGGGAAAGTAGTTCATTCCACGGTGCCGATAGAGCAATTGAACTTTGCCATGCCTTAGCCACTAAATATGATAAAATTAGAAGCAAATATTGGAATTATATCGGTGAGAAATTTAAAAAATTGAAAAAAGAACAAGAGGATCAACAAAATAATACTGAAACTGAAGAAAATTAATGTAAAGTAATTAGATAGGCGAAACAAATGTAGATACTTGTGAAAACAATTAAAGATTGTTTGTTCATTATGTTCAAAAATAATGTATATCTGCAAAAAATTCAAAACAAAACAGCAATAAATGAATATGAATCTTATTTTAGATGTTTGTGTTGAAGCAATAATGATTTTGAAGATCTTTACTTGGAATCTGGGTTATCGGATTGTTTAGAGTAGGTAGCATCTTCGCTGAAACAATTCCGTTTAAGTAAAGTGCCAATATTCATATGTACATCGTTTTTTAATGCTTTGGCTACCACTTCGCAATTGCAAGTCCTCTCTGGGTTTAATATGCCAAGTAAACTGGGTTTGTGCTCTGTTAGCTCTGGTTCTTTGCACGATTTCTCTTTTGGAGCAACTACTATAATTTTTTCACTAGCTTTATCTTTTAATGTTACTCCGAGTGATTTTAAAACATTCGGGCAATTCTTATTAACGCATCGTTTACATTCACAGAATGGCTGAAAGTAAACATTAACGAGAAATAAAAAATTCTTGTTATTTATTGATAATATAGAAATCAATAAATAAATTTCAATTTGGCTTGAAATATCTGTGTGCAAGTTACTGTTAGAAGTAGGTAGGTAGGGCGCATTCTTGATTATAAAGACTGAATAAAAAAAAACCTTTTTTTTCTAAATAGTGAAATACTTTCGGATATCCTAAAACACGATCTTTTTACAGCTTAAGGTACTTACTTTAGAATTGTGTAATGGTTTTTTTGCCCTACTGCCATGGGCCTTCATATTTATATTTTCTTTAGAGTATATTTCAAGATTTTGAATAGAATTGCATTTCGACCATTTTGAGGAGTGTCTTTATTTAGTAGTTTTAAAGAACTATGTATATTAGTTCTTCTTCTTCTTCTTTTATTAATGGCTTATCTGCGCATTTCGCACAATTCTGCCAATGTCAAGTAAATAAATTAGTTTCTACATGTAAAATGAAAATGAAATGAATGAAAGATGACCTGTATATTAGTTACATTTTTGTATAATTTAAATGACATTAACTGACAATAGTGACACAAGTTTCGAAAGAGTAAAGTATACAAGTTACTCTATGTAGCAAAGAGAAAAGTATTATGCAGTGAGCAAATAAAGAGCAAATATATCAAAAAATCAATAACGAATTACCATAGATGGAGACCATCCAAAGACGTTACTATACAATAAGGGCTAAGGCAAAACTGAATGGCTGCAAACTTTTGAAACTTTCAAGCAATATTGTACTTTCAAATATGTATAGTAAGTTTGAAATTAATACCGATAGTGATCTGTTTTTCGGCCGCAGCAAATGAATAGCAACAGTTTTTGTTTTCGATGCAGTTCTTGTAGTAATCTATTTGTAAATCCTATTAATATTATAAATGTGAAAGTTTCTTTGTTTGGATGTTTAGATGTTTGGATGTTTGTCGGTCAATCACGCCGAAACTACTGAACGGATTTTGATGAAATTTGGTATACAGATAGGATATTAGCTGACTTAGATAATAGGACTTTTTACCCCAGTAAACATTTCCCTAGGGTCCACGCGGGCGAAACCGCTGGCGAAAGCTAGTAGACTTATACCTATGTCTGTGATCAAACTAACACACTACAAACTAGAGTACATACATGAATCCTGTATAAACTAGTTCCACGAGTGCGTTATATTTCCTAAAGTAGTTAAAATATAGTGGTCGGTCTAAACATTGAACAATACTCCATAGATTCTTATGAATGGTTTATTTATTTAACGATTACCAAGTTATCAAGTTATTGCCTTAGCACGAAACTAGTACAGATAAAAGTGTAGTTATAGGATGCTAATCCAATGTATGCCTTATAAATTCGTTTACACCATTATATTTGAAAAGATTTTAAATAAATTTAAATTTTTAGATTAATTTTTTATGCTATCTGTAATATTAATACTTAATATTTTATGTTCTTCACCAATTTGGGTTACACTGATAATTTACATAATAAGGTATTCTATACAAAACCATTATACGTAATACTAGTTCATTGGTATAATTGATAAATATAAATCAAATCTATTTAGAATCTAAAGGGATTATCTAAATATATCTATTTATGTAAATAATAAATGTCACGTCGTATTTGATATTGTCACCGATATGATTTTGTATAGAATGTCCATGTAAAGTACCTATATGAAACAAGCATTTCATATAATAATTTAAACATTTGGGTATTCAATATATATTGTAGGGTTTGTATAGAATACCCGGGAATCTGTTTGATTGCCGGTATCATGGCAATTGGTAAAAGGTTTATTGCTTGGCTATTGAGATATGTTCCAACCTAAGGTTCCAAAGCCATATTCTGGATTATCTTGATGTTCTTCATAGACAGCAAACAGAAAGATAACAGCATCAAAGAAAATACTCTACACAGCATTGATAATAAATAGTAAAATATAAACCATAGATCCATAAAGTAGTTAAGAACCATCGATTAAAAACGAAAAGCGACATGTCACAATCAAAAAGAATTTAAGATTACATTTTACGTGGTCACGATGAGCTAATTATGAAGGTATAGGATTTTACTGTAATTCACTTTGTATTTTACAAAAGCAAAAGTAAACATGATTTTTTTTATAAAGCGTAAAATGGCACTGGTTTGATAATATTGTTAAGTTTAGACATAATTGTAGCTGTTATTTGGGTCATAATGTGTGGTACTGTAATTCCAAAAACTAGTAGCAATAGGGAGCCTATTGAGCTTCAAATTCTGAAAATGGAACTTGCCAAAGTGAAATGTAATTGCAATACCTGCGAACCGTCCAAAGAATCAGTGCCAGTTAGGGAAGATAGTGACTACAGCGATGCAGCGATACAAGTAGAAAAACTGAATGATCCACTTGACAGATTCATTTATGGTAATCCACATTCCCCAGCAGAGGATACATTTGATGGACAGAATAGAAAAGATGCTATGAAATATTATCGTAGTGATACTTTCTGTCCAAATTGTTATTTCATTTGGGACCTTTTGAGAAGATTTACGAAAGTTTTCAAAGATGAGGAGTGTGAAATCAGACCGAATATGTTCTCCTGTGATAAGTCGACCGAAAAGGACGTGGAATTCAACGATAGCTCAACATCTGCGACTCCCAAGCCAGTTGTCAGCCTGCCCTCGAATTTGACTTTGTGCGATTTCATCTCAGAAACGTCTATGAATACTAATGGTACGACTTCTCAAGCTAAATCTAGGGATAACGACAGGGTCAAATTTCTAGATGACAATGAACACGATCTTTGTTACCTCAATAAGGGACCCAAGCCAATCCCGGCCCCATTGCATGGTCATTGCTTTTGCTTAGATAATTTTATTGAAGCGATTCGACCACCGTTACCAATTTGATAACGTTACCTTTATGCTTATAAAAATATTTTTAAACGATATATTGTAAAGCATGTAGAGCCGTTTATAAAACATTTTATGAATTGTTGCGAGTTAAATGAAATACATTCTTTTTCAGATCAATATATTGTTTTATTTATCATTTCGCTGCATAGTGCTTAATGAATCTTGCGGATGGGTCCGAAACCTGCACCCATTTAGGCATCCAATAGTAGGGTGTAAAGTTATGTTGTCCAGGGAAGGACTTTTCAAAAACTGTGCGATAATATCTAGACTCTGTTGTTTTGGGTATAACTCCTTCGAAATTGTCGTTTTCATCTTTATATCTTTCTTCTATTATTTCAGCTATTATGGTGAACAGGGATTTTTTAATTGACGCCACTCCATCACTGAAAGCCTCTTTGTGTCTCCATAATATTGAATCTGGTAGCAAACCACTTTTATCAAAACTGCTTCTCAATAAATGTTTCTCCACTCCGTCCTGTGGTTGGCGAAGTTTTGGGTCTAAACTTAAGTAATGGTGTGTAAATTGTATATCTAGAAATGGAACACGAAGTTCTAAGCTAAACGCACTCACAGTTCGATCAGCACGTAACCCATCGTACAAATAAATATCTGATAGTAAACGTACGCTTTCCTCGTGACCTGCAGCTGGTGAAGGGGCATCTCTAAAATAGATGTAGCCTTGCGCCACCTCGTCGGCACCCTCACCGCTGAATATTACTGTAGTGTCAGTATTGTTTTTGATGTACTTCGACAACAGATACATAGGAAGACTAGCGCGAATTGTTGTTATATCAAAAGATTCCAAGTGATAAATAACGTTGTCTAATGCATCTTTAACGTCTTTCTCATCAAATTGAATTTCATGATGCTCCGTACCAAGATATTCTGCTACGGTTCTTGCTGCTACTAGATCAGGTGAATCTCCCATACCTATTGCGAACGTTTGGATTTTATAAGGGAGTTTAATTTCCTTAGCAAGTTTAACAACCAATGCTGTTACGAGTGAGGAGTCTAAACCACCGCTTAGTAGGCAACCGATTCTTCTATCAGCCATTAATCGTTTTTTACATGCTGCTTCCAATAAATAAGCGGTCTTTTCATAAACATTTAGCTTCTCAAGCTCTTCTTCTGGCACAAAAGGCACAAAACGCGGAGCCAATCCAGGTTTGTAATATTGTTCGGTGTAATCTAATTGTACTTTACCGCTATCCAACATAGACCAAACTTCGAAATGGCCAGGTGGAAATTGTCCTAATGTGGACTTCTTGCTAGCCTTTTGCTTTAATCCGATAAGACCCTTTGCTTCGGAGCAAATTGCTAAAACATCGTTATCTAAATCATGAAGTTTGAAAAGGGGTCGGACGCCATACGGATCTCTAGCGATATAAATCTTTCTTTTTTCCCCATCTACCAGACAGAATGCAAACACGCCGTCGAGGTTCTTCACAGTGTCTGCGATTCCAAATTTATGATAGGAATGAATGATTGCTTCTACATCGCACTTGGTTTCGTATGGAAAGTCGTGTTGTTTTTGTAGGCGTTTACAGTTGTATATTTCACCATTACATATAAGTGTGGTGCGGGGAAATGCGTGGAGGCGCATAGGCTGCATGCCGTGTAGAGAGTCCACAATGGTAAGCCTTTGGAAGCCGAAGATTGCAAGGGGTTCCCTCGCATCTTGCTCTATACGCCATGCATCAGGACCACGGTGGACTATGCTCGAAAAACATTTGATGCAGGTAGCGCTTAAACCACCATCCACACCAAAAGTTGCCCAAATGCCGCACATTATTGATACCTGGAAAAATATATTAATGAGGCATTAATATAGATATTAAAACACATCATACTTGTTTACATTGTATAGGACAGATTATTTCTTAAAATTATAGAAATGCAAAGAAAACCAAATAGTTAATAATTTGAAAATTATTATTTGCATAAATGAGCTATTTAAGTACATACAATAGTTCTCTTTAAATTGTTTAACTGTAGTTGTGGCTACTCTCAATGAAAGTCTTATTTAAGTCTTTAATTATAAAAATGTTCATGTAATACGTGGTATCTATTTACTTAGAAATGAATTGTTCATTTTTCATAGAATAATTTTAAATGATTATTAATATTTGAAATATTTACATAATTGTATTAAGACAATATTTTAATATTGCACATTTTAAGTAATATGGAAAATAACTTACTTTGCAATATTTACTGGCTAACCTCAATAATGTTCATGGGTATGCGGTCTAGAACATTTTATTAAATCTGAAGCTAGTTCCTAGTGTATTGTTTAAACAAACACTTAATCGAAAAGGGGTAAAATTATATCTTACCTTGAGTCACCTATATTTCACGTATCGATGAAGTTTTTTTATTATAACGTTAGTCGATAACTGATAAATGAAAGACGGAGCGACCGTCCGTTCTGCGTTAGAGGTTGTTTGCTACTGAAATGTGAGCGAGTCAAATTAATGCATGTCGAAATATAGATGTGCGTCTTGTACCACAAACTCACGTTCTGTTGTCAAGCAAAAACAAAACCCCACGAAGTATCATAATTTTTTTATAATTAGATAGCTTTGAATAAATAATAGTCGGGTTTAAATTTTGTAGCCTGCATGATTTTAATTTGGTAAATTGTTGTATTGTTGATAGAATGGGAAATTGTACCTATTTTTATAACCTAGGAACATGTGTTTCAATAGGTATTTAACAGAATATTTTCCTGAAACTTTAATTATGGATTCCAAATTCAACTATATGTTAGGGTTATGCATACTAACATATGAAGTTGTTGATTTATAGAAATGGTTAATATAGATTGAACTTGTTATAAAACTTAGGTTTAAAAAAAAATAGATAAAAGATTTGTTTATAAATCTAACTTGGTAGCTATTACATTAGGAAGTTAATAGTATGACATATGTGATGAAAATTATATAGTAGATACCCTGTCTGTCCCAAAAGGGTAGAGTGTGGAGCTTTCCGGTAGATACAAACGTCAAGCTTTAAATAAACGATTTGCGTTAAAATATGGTATAAGTTTATTGATTATACGAGAGAGAGTGTTATTAGAGTTAAATATTAGTTAACAGTTATTGGAAATTATTCTCTTTCCAAATATGCTGTGCCCGACGGGGTCCATATTGATACTTAAAAAAAAAATCCTAATATAAACATGCTACATTGTGGAATGCAGTAAATAAATAGGTTTTAATATAGAAAAAAGGCGTATTGGCGTATTTCATACAACCCGATGCGGTTCACTTCAGGCGGATGGATGAATCCGGTATCCTGCAAGTAGGGCCCGGTGACTTACCTACATACTTTTTCCTTATATTAGAGACAATAAAAACTCTAAAGGGTGTGGTTTAACTAAACTTAAGCATGGTCAAATGACTATCTAATAATGAATACAGCTAACCAATTTTTGACAATGATAAATAAGTGTGTGATATAATGTAATGTGTATTAGTAAATATTTTCAAAGACCAAGTAGATCCGTTTCCAGCAATGTATAAGATTTACTATATTGCCTGTAGTAAATGAGTAGGGAATGTAGAGTTTTTTTTAACTTATACTAAAGATACTAGTACCTAGTTACCTAATCAAAACTTTTTAGAGCATGATTTAAATAAATGAAAACCTTTTTGCGAGTAATACAATAAATATGTAGTCTATTATCTAATGTATTTGTATTATAGCTAAAAGGGTCACAAGCTGATGCAATGAGTGGTGAAGATGACTTCATACCGGTAATGCCACTCTTATCAATTTTAAAGCGTACGCTACGGCACAATACCGTAATTATTATATTCAATATGTACTCAGGTGTACTTCTTCGTATTGGCAATTGAAATATCGAACTCAAAACAAAATATAAACTCAATATTACTTTTTGCATCTAACTATTTTCTGCGGACCCTTTCACAAGTGTTTATAACAGCCTTGCAGCCAGTTGTACAAAAGTCCATTAAAATTTTTATTAGTTTAAAGCGACATTAGCTTTATAAATTTCACATTCATTAGAGCTAAAAGGGGTCCTTAAACCTCAATGGATGTTTGTGCAACTGACCGTATTTCGAATAAATAATTTTGTTTCGATTTCAGTATAGGTAGAACTATTGCGGATTACTGGCATATAGGGTCGCGCTCCTAGACACAGTAGCTCCTAAAAATACCTAAAAGCGTTTCAGATAAACTTTGTTTGATGAGTATTTTTTATATTATTTGGGACTAACTATTTTTCCACGACCTCGTCCGTGTAAATTAAATTTTCATGATTGGACATTATATGGTGACCTAATAATATATGTATATATATATAAAAAAAATAAATAAAAACTAGACTGATAAATTCGAACTTTGAATATAAGAAACAAGTTGTATTATGGCTTGGCCAAACAAAATTGTCATAACTAAGAAGTGGTGACTCAGATTTGTTAATTATTTAGGACACTTGGGCATCACATTGTCCGTAGACCTATTTAAAAAAATACATTCAACAAATTTAGCCGGTGCACACACTAACCTACTTATTTAGAAGCAAAAGAACTAAAAATAAATAAAATATTACTTTTGATTTTCGAATCTGTCATTTTAATGTTTGTTCGTTGTCTTTTCTTATTTTCTCGCTAATCTATCTATATATATATATAAAAATGAATCGCAAAATGTGTTGGTAAGCGCATAACTCAACAACGCCTCGACCAATTTGGCCAAATCTTTTTTTAAAATGTTCGTTGAAGTTCAAGGATGGTTTTTACGGCGAGAAAAATTAGAATTATTGCTGGAAAAACCCTAAAAATAGCCCTTTTCTTTTTCCCATACAAATGATTTGTAACTAAAACGTAGTCAATTTGAGCTTTATTGCTATGGTATAAAGTTCATATTAAATTACAAGCACTCACTGTTGTCTAAGCAATGTAGGTGTGTTCCTAACGTCAAAGATCATATCTATCAAAACAATGTGCGTGTGTGCGTTGGAGCACAGAATACATAGTTGGAGGAGTTTAATGTCGCGTTCCGAAACTCGCGTTTCTTTTGTATTAGTTTCGGCACGCGAGATAAAATGCATCAGTTTCCACGTCATTACATCAGTCAAACAAAAATCGCGTTACCAACAGTGTTTTATTATTTTTAATATCCAAATTTTAAATCAATAAAACAATTCGTACGGCTTAAAAGGATTTGACTTCAAGTCATATCAAATTTAAAAAAAAAAAGTTGTCCCAGGGGCAATCATTAAGTGTTTGTGGTATTAATCTAGAAAACCCATGTTTCTCACATGGTCAATTGTATGTTGCCTGTTCCCGTGTTGGAAAACCATCAGATTTGTTTATCTATGCGCCAGGTAATCAAACAAAAAACATCGTATACCACAAAGCACTACAATGATAATAATAATAATTATGATTCACATGATTAACAATAAAGCGATTACTTACTTTTAAATCCTTATATATGTTTTATTTAATTATTTTTTATTCACAACGCCCTATCACCAGGGTGACGGTTCTGTTCAGGAGAATTTTTTTAAATACGTAGGCAAAAAAACTGCCACATTACAAATCTTTTTGACAGGACGAAGTCTGTCGGGTCAGCTAGTACATTATAAAATATTTTGTGATATTAAAGTGCTATCAGGTGATAAAGGGAACTGCATCGCTGCGATTTCATTTCATAATGTAGATATGGAGCCAAACAGAAATTTCTAAACCCTCCATACGCTTGATAATTGTAAAATGTTTATGTACTTCTGGCTATTTATTCAATGAAACCTCTTCTGTTTGTGACTGAGAAAGATCTGGCCGTCCACGTAGTGTACGTACGAAAAAAAAATAAAGATAGCACCTATAATCGTGCCGCGTATTTCGAATGATGACTTAAGACTTACAGCCTATTAGGAATGCACTCATTACTTTTTAACAGTTAATTTAAAAAATAATAGCGCGGTAAAATCAGAACAACTACTTAAACGGTACGCAAAGTGCGGTCACATAAAAAAATTGTTTACGGATGATAAATATTTTATAATTGAGCAATATTATAACAAACAAAATGACCGTTTATACGCACAAAGCTGTAAAGAAGTTTCACGATTACTCAACAGAGTACAACGTGGGCATTATCCAACTTCAGTGATGGTTTGGTCGGGTGTTAGGTATGAAGGAGTGCCATATTTTTGTAAATAAGGTTTGAAAAAGGTTGGCATCAGAGCATCGGCACAAGTGTATGAAGATACCATTTTCGAGAAGGTAGTGCTCACTTCGGGTAAACGTTGTCCTTGGGAGGGTGCGAAAAGTACTCGTAATTTGACCGAGATATAGAAGTAGGGAATATCATCGCAATTCCATTTCTTTACCTACTCGGGTAGTAGACTAACGAGTCGTTTGATTAATATATTTCCTGGACCGTAAATCCGGACCCTTCAAATGAATTAATACCAATTCTGGTAAACAATTATCCATGTGTTTTAAAGCGAATAGAAATGTATTTTTCTATATCTGTAACTTTGATAGCGTTTTGTTAGCGCTGTTTCCTAGTCATATGATGTGATATTTATATTAACCTTTTGTAATTTTAGATGTATAGAAACGATAATATAATATCTACTCCATGTATCATATAGTAAATTAAACAATTTATTTTACTAAGTATCATCATCATCACCAGCCCTTTTACGTCCCCACTGCAGGGGCTCAGGCCTTCCTTATGGATGATCAAGGAGGATGGGCCATGACCCTCCACGCTGGCCCAAGAGGGTATTAACGACTGCAAATGCAGCCGGGGCCAAAGGCTTAACGTGCCTTCCGAAGCACGGAGTAGCCCGAGATAAAAATTTTTTGGTCACCCATCCCGTGACCGACCCTTGCGAAAGTTAACTTAAAAAACTACGATCGCAGGCCGCGGCGCTTATCCACTACGCCACCGAGCTACCGAGTAAACTAAGTATATATTAACTATTTTGTATACGATGAAGTGATTTTACTACAGATTTTGAATGACAAGTTTTAATCTTCGTTTCCGTTTTTCGTACTGTTTTTCACTTCTCTATAAACTTCGTGAGCAGTAGGTACTTGCTGCGGCGATCGCTGAAATCCATTTTTCTGAAAATAATATAGAAAGAAGAAAAGAAAGAAAATGTATTTATTCCGGTGCACAAATAAATAGACATAAATCATTTATAATAATTACAATAAATTAAATAAAACATAATCAAAAAAAGAAAAAATGCGTCACACATTGCACCGAAATAGGCAGCCAATTCAGCTCACTGTCAGGTTGCTAAACCTGACGCTGATTTTCAATTGACGCCTAATTGTCTCTTTTTGACACAGAGATGTCAAATTGTCGACATGAAAACCTCTTACAAGTAATTAAAATTAAAAGAAGATTAAAAGAAATTAAACATTACAAATAACAAATTCATTTAAAAAGAGTAAAAATTTCAATTATCATTATATATGTGTATTGTAATTTATTCATATTTTAAAATAAATCATCCATTAGGTACATTCACCATAAAGTTACTTAGTTATATCATATCGAATATTCCTTAAAAACTAAGAATTTGAACTATGTACTCGTATGAGAATTTGAGGATAAATAGAAAGTAGATTTCAATTCTTAAATAATAATATTAATTACTTTATTTAATCACTGAAAAAAATCTTAATGAAAAACGCCTAAAAAGCCACTTTGTCACATATTAGAGTACCAGGGATAAAGTAGGTATTTTAGGCATTTTTCATTAATAATATTAACCTATTTATAAAAATTTAGAATCCTTTTGTCTACCGCTTTTCAGATCAATGCGTTAAGCAATATATTGAAGTTTTTTTATATACATATTGAAGTTTTTTTATATATTGAAGATTTAAGCATAGTTTAATGTTAAGTAAATTATAAATTTAATAAAAATTTAGCTAGTCTAATGTTATATTTGAATTCAACTTTAAAAATAGAAGTTTGTCTCGTAATAAATAACTTGAAAGGTACTTACAATAACTTTGTCAACTATCTTGAAGGTGGCAGCACTGGGCAGCTTAAGTTGCGGCTCGCCATGAACATTACCGGCGAATAATGAGAAAAGAGCTACAACAAAAACAACTAGTACTGAGAACTTCTTATTTGTTGATTGATTAATCAAAAATTTACAGAAGGGTCATAACACGTAGATAGTACGGCTTTGAACGTGTCCAGTATACCCAGAGCACGATATTATAAAGCACTTGGTGTAACAGTTCAGCTTAGTCCCGCCTTTTCCGTATGTGTAACATCGGAATATCCTGCTGTCGCCTTCACACCAATCCATACAAATGTAATATATGCAGGAAATCCACTAGAATAAAAAAATCGCTTGGAGTATAATTAATGTTTTTAAATAAATTGAAGATTTACAATCATAATTGCGTCGTATTAACCCAACGATGAATTAAAAATTTGAAGGAAATATTATTCTTCAGATTGTCATCAAAATTTCAACTATGTATGTACATTTAGTTACTGACATTGTTCATTTATATTTTTCTTTTGGTTTTGATTTTTTTTTGTTCGTTTATAAATTCCTTCGGTATTTTCATTATTAATTAATTAATATAATTAGGGATTCTGAAAGAATGTATGTAATATTAACCCCGCGGATTGAGGCGGCATTTGATATTGCCATGGCCAGAGGAGTTAGCAACGGGCAAAGCAATAGAAATAATAGAGGACTATATCGGCGCTAAAGGCAGGCATTATGATTAAGCAATGTGAAAGTAAATTATTATTAAAATGCAAGAGAGCTGCATGTAGTGCATACAAACGTTATAGGTAAGTATAATTGATAGGTGACTTCATTAGAACATTCTCTGATAGGGTTTCAATACTAGGTACCTTGATGGCCTTTGTTACCAACCTTTAATCAACCAACCATCCTTTTTCGAAGCCTTTTCTACTTTTTTATTGATTTGGTACCTAATTTTGTTATCTTTGTCAAAAAAAATATAGTTGTCACTCAGCCCTATCCTGGTCTTCTTATTTTGGTTCCCTAAATCCCAGTTTTTCATCATAAATCCTTTATCTAGAGCTATAGTTAACAGCCTTTGTGTTATGGAAATCTAAAACATTCAACGTATCATATGTCTATAGCTATATTTGAGACAAAAACCTATATAGACCTGACCGGGAATCTATACCAAGGCCGTAGGTACTCTTAGAATTCGATTTTCGATACATCGCAAACTACATCATGTACTGTCCCACTCTAATGAATTAAAAATTCGTAACTTAAAGCAAAACAGGAAATAGTTCACGATCATAATATATTTAGAGTTGGTCTATCTTAAAAATATACATATCATATTATATAAATAAAAACAAATAAAAACCATATAACGAAAAACAAAAAACTCGACTGCGTAAAAACGAATTATAATAAATACATGAAAAAAATAAATTAAAAACTAAATAGAAAGAAACAAACCCAGTAGTTTAGAATTCTGTTAAGTAATACTAAAAAACTACACAATTGAAATAGTTTTATAATCGAAACACACATAAAACAAATTATAAATTCTAATGCAGAACGACTCACAGTCGGGGCCCATTTAAATTTTACCAATCAAATCTTCCCAAGGGGTCAACCCTCGCTGTCCAGGCGAGGCATTGTACTCTGTATAATGTAAGCTTATTCTGTCAATAACACGCTGACACTGCCTCTGATGTACAGATAATCTTCACGGATACGATTTTAACAAAATTATAAGATCGATTAGAAATTTTCCGAATTTTCAAAGAAAAAAATTAATATTAACTGTTGAAATATTATAACTTATAAATTTAGTAGTTTAAAAGATAACGAGCCCTGTGTATACAAAGATATGTATACATATACAAGTTTAGTGTAGTTATTGGTAAGAAGTAAATAAATCCACCTGATAGTTTTTCGAAAAATACACAAAAAGTACAATATCTGCGATAACCAATTGGTAGGTATTTTTTTGTTTAGTAAATAAGCCAAATTTATATAATAAAACTTGTTTATTTCAAATGTTAGTACACTTCAAACCTTTAAAAAGCTTTCCTGTAAAATCGTATTATTGTAGATATCCGTGTTCTTTGCGGTGGTCGAAAAAACAATAAATTACTTATTTCCTCTTTATAATATTAGTATAGAAAAAGATTAAAATAGAGATTTAAAGTTTGTATGGAAGTTTTACATTGTCAAAGATACAATCATGAAACTTTATTTTCAGATATGAATCGGTCATATTAATATTAGAAAATCCTGCCCAAAGTAACTATACCACGCGTATGACATGGTGATCAAAAACTAGATGGAATAAGGAAACAAAATCCATATTAGGGAATTTCCTACTTAATTGTATCATCTTGATTTTTTAAAATTAAATTAGTATTACACTAAGGAATGTATTCATAACTCATTTATTTATTCTTGTGAGTATAAATGGGATATCCCAAATTATTCGACGGAAATATCACAATACAACTAGGAAAATCAAGATAATTATTATTTGCTTTAAAATGAATGTGTTGTAAGGTCTGGGCACATCGAGAGTTGCTCCGTCTCTCAGTAACAAGTCTCTTGGAATTACTGGAATTAAAAAAATATATTCAACATGAAGATCTCAATCATATTCGTATTGGCTATGGCTTTCTTCGGTATGCTGCTTGGTGGTGCTCAAGCTGCTCCTGCACCTGACCCGAAGCTGCCCAGCGGTAAAACTATCAAGAAGGTCGGGAAGGCTATTGTGAGTATGAGTTGCAAACATTTGACTAAAAATTTGATGACTTTTTATGGTCGAGTGGTTATGAGTCGCTTTCTCTGAAGTTCCACATACGGCCAGTGGTATAGTTGTCTAATTTCAATGTCTATCCCGATTCCTTTGAGAGCTGTAGTGATTGTGGGAGCAATTTATATATTTATGTAACGTTTGAAGTCGCAATTGCTTTAGAAATGAATGATGATGTTGTAAGATTGCAGTTAACATTCAACTCTTTCGTTTGATATTGTTCAATAGATTTCAAAGATATTTATGTCTAACAGCTGCTTTAGATAGTTCCGATTATGGTCTTAATAACGAAATCATTCAATATCTTTAAAAAATATGCCGTGATCGAAATCGCTTTCAAATGTCAAATACTTAGTTTTTGCGTCTTGTTCGTGAATGTCTTACAGATTAGACAATTAAGCCCTGGGTCTATGTGGAAAAATGAACTTTTCAATATTGTATCGGGTCTAGGTGTATATTGTGTGGTATCTTCGTTGTTTGAGATATAATACTTTTGGATTTGAGCTACGTGTATGAAATTGTGTAGATTTATTATCATTTTTATATTATGACTTTGAAACAAGTAATCGTAGCATTTTTATTTTTCACTTTCGGTCTTCCAATAGGTACATTCCTTGTTATTAACCCATTATTTTCTTTTCAGAAAACTGGCTTTGGTATTTTGAGCGCAGCAGGCACAGCTCACGAAGTATACACCAATCTCAAAAATAGAAACAACAATTAATTTTTATTATATTAATAATGTATTTATTTATTGTTATATTCCGTGAAAATTCAAGTATTTCTTTAAGGCAGCTTTGCAAAATGAACAAGAGGCATAGTTATAATTAAATTAATTAGTTCTTTATTTACCAAAGATAGCAAATATTCATACGGTTAACGTCGTATTTGTTTCTACTTCTAGCTTAATTGATGTTTTAGAATAGATCAAAATAATTGAATCAGTTTTTAGTTTAGAAAATGAAGTTATTTTTTCAATTAAATTATATTGTTTAACTTAATAGTTACCAAGTTTACGGAATAAAAAGAATATTATCATTTTCATTCGACATATTGAAATTGAAAATGTTGTTAACTTCACTAAAATCTATGATCTATATAATTGTAATTGAAATTATTGTTACGTTGTAATAAAACATAACATTTTCTACCTTAAAGTTACAAAGTTATTTTTTACCTTTTTCGAGACACGAAGTTCGTGAGGCTAGCTCGTTACTGAAGAAAGTTGTGAAACGGAAGAACAATGGGGAAGTTGTGCTCCGTCTCATCTAAAAAATATTTCTAATCTTGTGTCACAGATGTCTTAGACGGCATAAATATTGTCAATGATCAGCAGAGTGACCGCTAAGCTCTCTTGCCATGATTTTAGCCATCAACCATTAGGTATGACATCTTATCGATGCTATGGCGATATTTCGTTTCATTTTACTACTTTGACATGTACACTAGTAACAATGAACGAACTATAAAGAACTAGCTGACCCGGCGAACTTTTATTTCTCTAATCGCAACTGAGGAAATAAAATCTTTTCCTTCCATCTTGCCCTCCTTTGCCCGAAATTGTAATAAAAATCTAAATTCATAACTTCATAGAGAAAATTTTATTATATTTTATTGTAATCGTAGATTTGTGATTGATGCAACGTAACGATGTTGATATTTTAGCCTCTTCCAATAGATGGCGTTAGTAGATAATCCTATTCCAAGTACAACTTGATGTTATTGATTTGAGAAAGCTGCCTAATCCACAGACAGACCTTATCGAAATAATTAAGTGAGTATTTACTGAACATAATAATGGAACTAATAAATAAAAATTTATACATAAAAAATTAATTAAACATTAATTGATGTTTTTATCGTTTACATTATTATATACATTGTGAGCCGCGCTTGCGGTGCTGAGACAAACCAAAACCGATTTTCTGAAAAAGTATAACAAATATAAATTTATTATTGCTCAGATACTAAGTTGCTAAAGCTCTTGTGTTGAGGGCTTTATTTGAAACAAACAGTGTGACAACTACCCAGACCCGTGACAAATAAGAAAAGTTCATTTTCTATTTTAACCCAGCCGGGACTCAAACGCGGGACCTCGAAGATAGAAAACATTAAAACAGTCATCACGATTGTTACAGCTCGATACTCACATTAGGGAAGCTTCGGGTCAGGTGCCGGAGCAGCTTGAGCACCACTAAGCAGAATACCTAAAGCCATAGCCAATACGAATATCATTGAGATCTTCATGTATTCAACATGAAGAAGGCACTAAGGATTTGCAAGACTCTCCTCTAGGGCTCTGGGATGCCACCGCCTAACTCTCTAGCCGAATATATAACATCTTCGTTTTCGATGTCAGTTAAAAACTTACTACATTATACTGTAGGTGATTTGCCACTGTATAAGATATTAATGAAGGGTCGTTTCATGAGTTGTTTTTGTTTAAATAGTAGGATTCAATTAATCAGAATTTGCTTATATTTTGTGTTCAATTAGAACAAATTATTAGACATCACTAAGAAGTTCTAAGACTCCTTAGGGCTCTAAGACTCTCTAGAGAATGCGACTGCCTTGACTCTAACTCTCTAGCCTTGATTCTAGCCATAGGATACGACATCTTGGCGATATTAGCAAGAAATTTCGTTACGTGTGCTATTTTGACATGTCTTTTGGTGAATAAATTTTGGATAAGTGACTAAGTTAGTAACACTGCATCAAATCCGTAATCATCATCTTATATATAAATAAAAATGTAAAAAAAATGTTGTGTCACGATGTATGTTGCCAATGAACTCCAAAACTACTGAACCGATTTCAATCAAATTTCACACGTACCCGTAATTTGGTCTAACTTACTGGATAGGATAGTTATTATCTCAATTATTCGCTTATATCGTGAATGTAAACTAATAAAATGTACTAATTAATTGTTTCTTAAGCAAGTGTTTATTTTATGAATTGTTTATTTTATTAATTGTTTCTTAAGCAAGTGGCAAAATGGAAACTTCTTATAATATACAAAATATGTGATCTATCGCTAGTGCTGGTGAGAGATACGTAGCTGAGTGTGATTTACGAACTATATTTAGTCCGATTTTCCCCATCCGGTAAAATGTACATACAATCTATGTGTTCATTTGATAGGAAAACGTTTTTATAATACGTCAGATTTCCCTGCTTTGGTTGATAAAAATAAGTAAGAAATAAGAATATATGTATATTGTTGTTAAGCAACTTTCGCAAGAGTCGGTCACAGGATGGGTGACCAAAATAAATTATATGGAGCTACTCCGTGCTTTGGAAGGCACGTTAAGCCGTCGGTCCCGGCTTTACTTGCATTGGTTAATGCTCTCCAATGCGCATTTATGGTGTTATGATCCATTGTGGTTAATTATACAAATAAAGAGGCCTATGCCCCTGCAGTAGAGTCGTAAAAGAGCTAATGATGATGATGAGGTGCTTATCTATGACATTGCTAATGCACTCTTAGGTTCTGTGTTATTGAAAGCCCGAGCACCGGCTACAAAACCAATGAAAATACCTCTCAAATCCAATACTTTTTTAGTACTACGATCGATACCTTAATAGCGAGACTTTCTAGTGGCACGCACACGGCTTGTACACACGGCTGCACGTCAGGCTGCCAAAATATGTAAAATTTCCTCGACCGATTAACTGAAACACATTAAGGTTTTAAATCAAGTGAAGTTTTGTGTAACCTGACGCGTTTTGTCGACTGTATATCGTAGCTAATTTCAACAATGAGGTTTGAATTGGCACCCTCTCCGTTTTTACCCAGTGATTACACTTCTTATTGTGTTACTTGATTATGTCTCGTCATTGTAGGGTTTCTTGTCTTTAGGTGCTGATAAACATCGTAAGCTGTGTTCGCTGCATTGTTGTCGTGTTTCTAAAAACAAAATAAAATAAAGATATGATAATGTTTTTTTTTATTTTATTTTGGGCTTAGAACTAATGTTGTGAAGAATTATAATGATAACAGATTTCCAATAATGTAGATTTTTATTAATTTACTTATCAACATCTTAGGAATTTAAGTACTTTATAAACAAACACACGTAAATTATCACAAGTATCATTAGTTTCCAAAGAATGTTTGTTTTAAAGCAACGGATTAGTGTGTTTAGATAGTTGAACTGCTGGAGTGAGATACTTACTACTACTTTTACTTACGGCTATTTTTTGTCTCTATCTATTCTACCAACCTCCCAAACAAGGGGGTGGAGGTTTGTATGGAGCATTCCGTAATTTCCTAAAGCAGCTAAAAGCAGAAAGTTCAAACTTAGTATACGGACTCTTTGTGGTTAATGAACAATAACGTGCATATTTTTTTTTGTATTTTGGAAATGCTGTGTTACCCGGAATTTGCTGCAAAAGCTAGTCCAATATAATTATAAATACCTAATGAAAACACGAATAAAAACATGTTGCATATAGAAAATCCACGTTTGGTATTTTCAATGAATGCAAAATATATTGTTATTCGCTGATATAAAAATGTCATCTAAATATTTATGTGATATTGGTGAAAACATATATAAATACTCGATGAAAAACATATCTTGATTTGTTATGTAAAAAAACTACTGATTCTATTTTGATAAAATTTAATCGGGACTAACTCGGGCCATTAAGATGTAAAGTAAATAAAGAATTGTAAAAATCGGTTAATAATTAAATAAGATCAGAATTTGCTTATCTTTTGTGTTCAGTTAGAACAAATAAGACATCACTAAGGAGTTCTAAGACTCTCTAGGGCTCTAAGACTCTCTAGGGAATGCGACAGTCTAACTCTCTAGCCTTGATTCTAGCCATAAGATACGACATCTTAGTGATGTTAGGATGATATTTCGTTTCGTGTTTCTACTTTGACATGTCTTCTGGTTAAAATTAATTTGGGTTAAATGGCATAGTTAGTAACACTGAAACAAATTCATAATTATCATTCTTTATAGTTTGTTCATTGTTACTAGAGTATATGGCAAAGTAGTAAATTAAACGAAGTATTGCCATAGCATCGATAAGCTATCGTATATTAGGGCTAGAGAGTTCAGCTGTCGCTTACTGATCATTAACAAATTTTTTGTGCAGTTTAAGACATCTGTAACTCTAGATTGGATATATTATATTTGAAACGGAGTAGAGTCAACTTCCCCATTTGCTCTACCGTTTCACAACTTTCTTCGTGTCTTTAAAAAGGTTAATAAACTTTTTACCTGCATGGTATAAAATGTTGTGTTTTATTACAACGTAATTATATGGGTTATGGGATTTTAGTGTCGGTACAAAAAACAGTGTAAATATTTCGAATGAAAATGATCATATTCTTTTTATTCCGTTAACTTGGTAACTATTAAATTGTACAATATAATTTAATTGATTTTAGGATATTTGAAATAACTTTAATTTCTAAATAAAAAAGTAGTTCAACTAATTTGATCTAAACAAAAACACCAGTTAAGCTAGAAGCAGCAACAGGTAAGACTTCTGTTATCAATATAAATATTTGCAATCGTTTTAAATAAAGCAATTATTAATTTAATTAGTGCACTATATCGTGTTATTGGTAAAATAAGCTTATATTATACAGAGTACAATGGCTCGCACTATATCCTTGATGATTTTGCAAAGCTGCCTATAAAGAAATACTTGAATTTTCACTGAATATATCAAGAAATAAATACATTATTAATATTATAAAAATTAATTGTTCTTTCTATTTTTGACATTGGTGTATACTTCGTGAGTTGTGCCTGCTGCGCTCATAATGCCAAAGCAACTTTTCTGAAAACAAAACAATGGGTGAATAATAAGAAATGTACCTATTGGAAAAACAAAAGTGAAAAATAAAAATACTACGATTACT